AAGTCACAGGGGAATGTAGAATAATTAGATAAATACTATTTGATTTTGTACTTTGGAATTTTAAGTTTCATGAATAAAAAAATAACTTGAAATAGTAATTTTGTGGTATTTATAAATTTGAATTTGAAGAGCAAATCACTGGAAATGTAAGTATTAATTCCCCACAGTTTTTAACTGAAATTTCATTTCACGGAATTTCTTTATTGAATAGTCGAATTTTATAAAATAAAATACGTTTAAATATTTTTGACATTCATAAAAATTATTTACTAATATATAGAATATTTAAATATAGATTCAAAGGACTTCAAATATTCAAATTCAATCATTTAATAATTTGAATTCAAAAGTTTATCGCTTTATCAGAAGATTTAAAAAATACAATTGTAATTTTAACTATCCAAATAGAACCAACATGAAATATCCACGAAAATCTGGCAGCGAAAGACTTTTATGGGTATTAAAAGGAACCAAGCAGGATTAATAAAAGAAATATTTTGAATTTTAAAATCATAATGATTGAATTTGAAAGCACCAACAAAAAATTAAAAATTTAATTAATCATTTAATAAATTGTGCATAAGAAATTAAAGATATAAATTTTTAAGATGATATTTATAAGATAATTAAATGCAATTCGTCAATTAAATTAAATTAAATTATGGACGGTTTTTTAAAATGTTCAACGTTTCATTTATATTGTATTATTGTAATAACGCATCTATCGATCGTTCAACGAAATAATGATAATGATAACAAATGAGCACAGAAAAAGGTCGTTCGATTTAGAAAGCAATTGACGAAATCGGTAATTTCGTGGCTGGCTTGATGGATACTTAATGTACTTAATATTAATAGTGTTGATATTTTCACTTAATATGGCCGATTTTTTGCTCTTGCAGACAGTTAGGAGCAATACAATGCAATACTTTACAAAAGGAGCAGTAATGTGTTGCTTATTAAAATATCATTTGATTCAGTTTCTGGTAAAAATAAGCAACTTGCATAAAGTACAGGAGTTGTATTATCTCCAAGTTATTTGCTGGCGAAAATTGTCTCATCTTACTAATAATGAAGTGGGCCTAAGCAAAAAGATTGATTGACCACTTGGTTGTATTTTTTTCTAATCACTGCTTTAACAAATTTCATATTTTCGAAATACTTATTCTTGCGAAAAGAAATCGCTCCATGCACGAATTTGATATCATTAAAGGCGTGAATTTTTTTCCAAGAATTTTCAATAATTTGGAAAAATTGTTTCTTTTGTATAAATTTTTTTGAATATGAAATTGGGAACAAAAATCATTGACTGCTTCAGCATATTCCAAGCCAAATAACCAATTGCATCAATAATTTTTTTCTTACCAGTGAATGTGCAAATTAATAAATCGTAGTTTCAAATAAAGGTTTGCCTAGAATAAAAAAATAAAAACTAGAAGAAAAGAGTATTTATACGAAAAGACTTCCAATTAATACATTTGATAAATGAGCGAAGATGGATGCAATCATTTACGATTTTATCCACTCGATGGATCCGCAAAATGTATCTTAGACATGAGGGATCAAAGATTGATAGCTTTTAATATCTACCACTTTCTTTGGCTATGCTTTGCAGCCGTATAGCGAGATCGAACGAATTGCAGTTATATGGGTGCAAATTTTCATCTTTATGGAGATTTTGCAACGGTTCCTTAAAGGTTTCATCAACCGGAAAAACAATTCTAGCTGTCCTTATCCGGGTTGCAATTTCATCCCAGTTTAGGATTAGAGTGGATTCAAGATATTTAAAGCCGCACTTCCTCGGCCAGCAATGAGTTGATAAAAATAGGTGTTTTATCAGCAAACGAAAACACTTTCATTTTATTTACATTGATTCTGAGTCTCTCGTTATAATTCTTGGCATGTTATTTAGTATTATTTGCATTTCGTTACAACTGTCAGCAAAAAAATACATCATATGCGTATTCAAGATCTATTACCCCATACTCTGGACTCATTTGCCTTGAGTGTCGATGCCCATTATCCAGTCCATAGTTGAATTTTGCAGGGGAAAGAATACAGTCCTGACGGAACCAGTTCTTATTTCGAAGGACTCTATGAGCTCTCCATATATAGACCTGTCCCAAGGTAAAATGCTTTTATGATCTTTTCTGTGTCACCGTCATATCCATCGTTTTCTAGATCGTTGCCTTATCAGAATGAAAGGAAGCTAGAAAATTGATGAAATAGAAAAGATGGATATGGATATGTGTGATATTTAAAGCGATATTTCAATAGCATGAATATCTGGTCAACAATCCGACCTGAATCCAGCTTGGTTAGTGCACATCGTGTTGTACCATATTGCCATAATTCCAATAGGAGGGAAGTGAAAATTTTTCCAGAGATGTCTAATAGGCTGATTCCTCGATAATTGTCGCAGTATGTCATGTCACCTTTCTTGGGAATGGAGAGCGGAATTGCTTTTCTTCAGTCATTTGGTAGTTTCTCTTTTCCATACCAGAAGGCACGTTTGATACATTATGGACATTTGAAGAATTCAGCCCGGAGACTGTCTTCTCCCGGATTCTTATTGGCTTTAAGCTTATGGATAACGGAATATTTCTTCTTCTGTTGGCAATCGTATGGATCAATGAATCAGCTATATCCAGGATAACATGTGGCATATCGCAGTTAAGTTTCCTCAAAAAATTTCTTCTACCTTATGTTATCCTTAATACTCAGATACATCATTTCTATCCTTTACCATTTCACTGATCGTTCCCCGAGTTATACTTGCTTTATGAAGAAGGCGAAATAGTTTCCTATTTTCACCCAACCGAGGCGCCATCTATTCTCAAGGCCGCGATTTCTGTTCCGCCGTGCTGCTTTCGTTGCAAATATTCGAAGCACCCGGTAGTCAGGATCACCTGACATTCGGGCTTTGGCAGCTTTTTCAGACAATTAGACAATTGCTTCCGATACCCAACTAGCATATTTCCTACTAGTATAGCCTAATTTTTGTAAGTATGTCTTCAATTGAGATCAGTATTCATTGCCGTTCCAGAAATGTCATTGATATTCATTTCACTAATGTGTTTCAATAATACATTTTGAAATGCGCTTATTGTTCCCGGATCTTTTAATCTGAGATAATTTAAAGATCTTGGGATGCGTTCTTGCTTACTTGTCAGTTTTATGCGAATCTCGAATCGTAATATGGTTTGGTCCATGACGATTACCAACTTCGGCGACCTGATAGGAATGACTATAAAGTAAGACTCTTCCTGCAGCGAATGACCAGTATATACTCCAGAGAGTTCCATGTGGCTAGACGTTTTCTCCGATGCCGGAAATATGTATTAATAACAAAGAACTCATGTTTTTCAAAACGAAGAAAGCATTTTCCATTGGCAAACTGGACTCCGATGCCATATTTGCAAAATTACCGAATTCATCGTAAGAGCATCTATGCGTGCATTCCAATCTATCCCGATCATGACCATGTCATTCTCGATAGAAATATTTTTAATAATTGCAGCTGCGCATAGAAGTTAACCATCATCAACTGCACATAAAGTTGCAGCACTAATGACCGAAATATTATAGAAACGCGCGTATGCCATAAAGTCATTTATTGGCTTCCACTCAATAAGCGCAGATCGAGCACTTTTAAATATGACAATCGCTACGCCATTTCGCCCCGAGTTATCCAAGTCACTACGGTGATATAACCAATATCTTTGCTCGGGAGCTTAATAATTACTCAAGAGCCGATATGAGGAAAGCGGACCTCTGATGAATAAGCCATATCCACGTATATTTAGAAAGGGTGTGGGCAATGATCGCTTGCAACATCCATAAGCGTTCTGACATTCCAAACAGCTATAGCTTGCACTTCTTACTAAGTATTATCGGATAAGTTCTCGTCTCTCTTGACGGTTCTGAGTAACTATCCCGGATCGCGGCGATATCCTATCTTCAAGTCTTGAATTATTTTATTACCAAATCGTAACTTATCGCATGTACCACCGAGTTAGAAGTATCATACGCATTGGAAGACGAGGACATCGCGTCAAAGAGATTTAATCCTTTCACCATAGAATCACTTGAGATAGAAATACGGCTCCAGCAGCCATGCGGATTTTTGATGCCATGACAGGTTTATTCCTGTCAATGACAAAAATAAAGATAATGAAATCTAAAAAAGAATTTTAAAGATAATTTAAAAAATAAAATTTTAAGAAAAAAAAAACTCATTTGATTCACAGATGATAATAACATTACGTAATAATAATAGTATATAATAGTAAACAATAAATAAATTATAAAATAATAATGGTAAATTGATAAATGCTGTTTTATTAATTTATTGATTATTGAGCACCTTTTCGGCACAACCGCTCAACAAAAACGAAAACGAATGATTTCACATTGGTTATGAATTTCACTAAAATAAATTATATGGATTCACTAAGGTTGTGTCTTTGATATCACATTTTTATTGTAATCGGATCGCAACTGCAGAACCTGAAAATAAAAAATTTCGTAAATGCAGGAAATAAATAAAAATTCATGGGAAATTAAAATTTTTTTTTAAACTAAAGGATAAAATATTCATCCAGAAAATAAAATTCAGAAAATTGATTGTATTCCTATTGCATAAGGAATTTTAACTGTTTGGAAGTGAAAATAAATAAATTTCATAGAAAGGAATAATAAATACGTCATGAAAAATAAAAAATTAAAAAATGTTAAACATCGTTAAAAATGAACTCATTTTTCTTGAACCTCATATCATTAGTTGTCTTTTTTTAAAATTATTCTCTTGAATGGATTTGATTTATTAGGTTTAATAGATTTATCGATTTTCAATGGGAAAAAGGAAAGATAGGAAAAAAGAGTTTAAATAGCAATCTGCTTCGTTTGCTTATAAAAGGAAAAAAACAATTTACTATGGCTAAGAATTTCATGGAAAGCAAACAGAACGCCCATAAATCTCCATTCTCCATTAAACTCCATCAGTCAGATGTAAAATAATGGTAAATTTTGGAAGTCGAATTCTGTGCTATAAAAAGGCTAAGTGAACGGGAAAAATGTAAAAATCTGGAATAACTTGCCTCTGCTTTTAGGTTCTGATAGCTCGTTTCGATTTCCCGAGCTGTGATCGCTTCCCGACTTATATAATTATTTTGTTCGACATATTGCCATTTCTTTTGTGCATTTTTTAGCTGAATTAGTTTCATGGAATTCAGCATTTTTTAAACTTTGTAAATCCACTTTTATTTCCATTTTCTTTGTTAAATTTTAGTTTTATTTTCTCTAATAAAGGCTTTTGTCCTAATGCCCTTATGATCGAATTTTCGACGAAGACATTGTAGCTTCGTTTCACCTATTACTATTGGCATCCACATGTATTTCAATTCCCAATTGATTCTCCAGTGGATAAGCCTCATCTTAAACTATTAATTAAGCATACCAGAAATAATAAGTTTTGTAAACGAAATAAAATTTTAATACAATCTGTTTTCAAATTATTGCCAAATTACTTTGATATATTCATCATTTGAATTAAGTAATTTTGAAAAATTGGATAATTTAGAAAATAGCTCATTGTTCGATTTCTCAATAAGTGGCAATCTATATTTGAGATTTGAATATTGCTCTTCGAGAATCTGAAATAGGTGATCGTCAATGAAATTATCTAACGAAACTTGATAATTTGATAAATTGATTTGAAATTTGATAATTACTTCTTGATTTATCATTTTTTGAACAATTTTATAACAACCAAAAACTGAGATTTTTAATTTTTTGCAATTTTTTGCTTATGTGATATTTCTTAAAGGAAAATTTTGATATTCATTCGGATAGTCTAAAATCTTGATGAAAACTTAACACGACTAACTTCATAATATATAATATATAACTTCATAATATAAATTGATCTCATCTTGTAATTTTAAGATTATCTCGTTTATTTAATTCATTTACCAAGGTATTTATGAAAATATCATGGAAAAGAATAAATAAATTATTATAAAGCATTCTAGAATTCTTGAAAATGTTTTTTAACCTGACACCTTTGCTTGATTTCTTCTTTAAGATTTCTCGGATCATCAATTTCCTCAATCTGCTTCATCATCTCACATATTCTTTGTTCAGTTTTTTCTGCTTCGCCAAGCAATTTGACTTCTAGTTCGTTCAGTGAAATCAGTTCCTCTTGGAGAGAGACATGCACTGATAAATTCCTTTGTTATCAAAAATCATCAGATTAGGATAAATCTTTCTAAGACTATACAGAGAAAAAAATTTTAATAATATGATGAACAGATCATCTGAATTTTTTCAATAGTGGTAAAGTGGTAAGAATCTTGAAGAACTGGATCATTGATAAAAGTTTTTAACTGATAGGATCCATGAATAGCTCGGACTACCAAAACACTGGGTGGCAATCACTATAGTTTTAGGCTTTATAAATCCTGAAATTGTTACTATTAAAGAGCTGACTTACAATTCTTAAGATCAAAAGCTGAAGCTAATTCATTGTCGAGTTGACTCATATCAGTTGCATTATTTAAATTGATATTAGTCACCTCACAATTTATCGATATCAATTCGAGAAGATTTACAATGTTTTCGCTTAATTTTGCAATTCGTTCGTTCAGTTCAGATTTCGTATCATCATAACTGTTTAAGAATTCATCAATTTGAGCCTCTTTGATTTTCAGCTCATGATATTTTTCATTTTTTTCGCCTAAATTGCATCATTGGAAAAAAAATTAATAAATTTCTATGAAATGAGAAATCTTCTTTTTTCATTATATATTACAACAACATCAAGAGAAAAGAAAAAATTAGCAAACAAAGTTGGTATCTATTATCTAGATCTACTGTTTCGACCATCTTTAGATGGAATTCTAATTTGTTATATTCATCGGCCAGGCGTTTGATAGTAATATGCCTATTATTACTATTATTACAAAAATTTGGTGGTGCTGGCTTTTATCTGCAAGTGAAAACTTTAACCTAATCGGAGATGGCGCTACCCATTCAATTATTTACTCATTAATTCGTGGAATCCTCGAAATATAATATGCAACTGTAAAATTTTGAGAACTAAGAAAATAAAGGGAAAAATAAAGGGAAAAAATTTTAAAGATTTGTCTGCTTATAAAAATTCAAATTGGTAAATATTTTGCATTATAAAAATGGGCAACAATAAAATCATAATTTCACTGTTTTACTAATTTAATTACTAATTTAGAGACTAAATTACCTGCCAAATTCTCAAATTCGGTTTGAAATTCTCGAAGTTCTTCGCTACTTTGTTTAATCTTTTCATTTACCGTATTAACTCTGAAACAAATCGTTTTTGCATTTCAAATCAATGTATTTTCAAATTCACAGCCGCATATTCCACAGTTTTCTAGAAGAAAAATGATTTTAATATTCATTTAAGTTAATCTAAAACAACTTTTTCAGCAGAACATTTTATTCAAGAGGGATTTAATTTTAAATTTAATTTTAAATTTAATAAAGAAAAAAACCCCCATAGAGTACAATAAAATATAAAAATTTTCTAGATTGCTTAAAGTGTGAAAACTTTTTTTTCTGATTGTTCAATCTACCTTGATAAAAAGGTAAGACAGTGGAACGACCAAATAACATTGGCTCGATTTTTGTCGTTGGAAGAAAGCAAACTTGTCATTGAAAGTAAAATCTTAATGGTGTTCTGATAAGATAAAAGTGGTGAGCTTTTATATTGCCTCTGTATTTCTATGATATTAATATTCTATGATACTATCTATGATATTAATATCGACTATTTCATTCTCATTTTTTCTGGAATAAGTCCAGCAGTAGGTCAAGTTTTTTCTGAGCTATAACAGATAAAATAATAAACCCCCATAGAGTACAATAAAATATAAAATTTTAGAATTTAAAGAAAACGAAAATATAAGCAAAAAAATTTTTTTTTTTCGTTATAATTTCATATTAATTTTAGCCAAAATTACGAAGCTATTTTTCTTTAAAACATTTTTTTTATACTTTTGTACTTTTGCAAACTTCATGACTTGTCTTTGCTTGTCATCTCTTAACTCGCCTCTACCTCTCCAAATGGCCCTTTGGTGAATAGAAGTGGTAAAACCACATATTCCGACCAATGCACATGGTATCCTAACCGGTGGCTATAAATATGTGAATCGGTCTTGGACACAGCAATACTAAAGCAATAAAATGCTATGAAATTTCTTGAGAAAATTGTTGAGACAATGAAGCAATTGTTTCATCCAATCTAAGAAAGTCGAACAAATGTCGTCCGGCTTTATCTTCAAGAAGAGAGAAAAGAGATGAGATAACTGATGATATCGTAGAAAGAGAACAGAATATAACAGAAATAATTCAGAAAAATACTGTTTTTGAATCGCTGCAATTTCTTCAGTAATTTGCACGATCATTTTCATCAGTTGTTCACGTTGTTGTTCAGGTGTCTCTTCGGCATCGATTTCAGCGATAATCTTTGTCTTTTTCAATTGAATCTCCGTCAGTTGCTCATGAAGAATCACTAAAGTGTTGTTAAAATTACTAATTAAATCACAGTTACAATAACCAACTAGGCAGTGATTATCGCTCATTATGGGGTCCAGATTGTCGCTTTGAGAGACAGTGCTTGAACTTCTGCACCCAAGCGCTAACCATTTATTCTTTTTAATGTAAAATATAAAATTTTTTAACATAAAATTCGTCAATAATAAATTTAAGTATATTTCCAAAAAGCGAACATTTAAAGGAAACATTTCTAACGCTGAAAAGTTAAAATAAGTTGTGGAAAACATAAAAAATAATGAAAACAAATTGACAATGAAAAATTCGAAAGAAAAATCCAAGATTCGCTCAGATAATCTTTAAATATATCGAAATTATTCTTATAATGTGACAAATGACGGTTGAGAAAGTGGTAAGTGGTAAATTGCAAGTTCCAAATATCAGATATCCTTTAACTAACTAACTTGCTTGCTGTTTTAACACCGAATTTGCAAGTTCTTTATCAATTTCATATTTGTTTTGATGGAGTTCTGATAATTCTTGTTGTTTTAAACGATATTCTTCAGCAATAAATGATGCGTTCTCTTTCATTTTTTCATAAAGTTTGCGTAAATTTGGATCCTAGCAAAGATATAATATAACATAATTTATGTAATATAATTATGTAATATAATGCATAATATAATATTCATTCGGGTATGGCTCAGTGGATTGTTGCGCAATTCGGAGCACTATTCGGTGCTTCACTTCCAGCAAGAGTAAACCAGTTCAAAGATCCGAGTGATACTGCAAGGGTGACTCCCTGGCATATTTGTCTAGCGCGACAAGCCAGTGGAACGAGTCTAACCAATAATGTTGAGAGCCCTTTTAAAAAAAATTCATTCGAGTAAAATAGAAGACTATTTGCTTACTAACTTGTAAATAAACTGTACATTAAGTGAAAAATTTAGAACTTTTGACAACTCTTCGTTAGATGGCCACCCGGAGGACGGAAAGAGCTTCCAGCACCACTTGCACCGTTTCATTTTTGATGATAGGTTTAAGGTTTATTCATATTAAAGGGCTACTTATAATGTTTTAAACGAACAATATACTATCGGCCATCTCAACTGTTTATCTATTTTCTCTTACATTCTTTCATAACTATCAGCATAAAAGATCAACATATTAAAGATCTGCTATGCTCTGGACTCTGCACCACTTTTTGAAGCATACAATTTATGAAACTTTGGTTATAAATTTTATCCGAGAGAGAGTTTATTCGATGAGAAAAATCTGATTCTTCCTATAATCACTCAGAACTAAACAATTTCGCTTACCATGTGGTCCAGTATAGCTTTGTGTTTTACTTTTTCTTGATCAATCTCTTTCTCGAGTTCTTCAATAATTTTTTCCTTTTGATGGCGTTCGTCGAATAATTCTTCCAAAGTCTTTTCTGCACCATTATTCCTACTCTTTATTTCCACTATTTCTTCTTCTATTTCTTTTAAATCTGAGTTTCTATTGAGGCGATCGACAATCTGTTGATAATAATTTGTTAAGAAATATCGACTTAGGTAGTTAAATTATATCAACTAATAGCCAAGTGGATATGAATCAGATCATCGCGATGAATGGAAGATAAATCAGATTCTGCCTCTGATAGAATCTTGGATTATTAAAAAATACAGATACTCAAAACCTGAGCTGAATTTAGAGGACTCTGGGCTCTTCAAGCTGACGAGCCTCTCCTTCCTTCATAAAAATTAAAATGTATAACAAATCACCACATTTAGACATTAAATTCTTTATTGCATTCCGCTGGAACTGGCAAATTATTACAAGATTGATTAACTTCTTATATTTGTTTCAAGATGGCATTAAGTCGACTATGACTTCGAAATTTTTATAAACTGATGCTACGCTATCCTAGCAATACTTTTCATGAGGCCACAGGTAACTAATCTAAAATGATATAAGATCCATAGTTCTTTTCTTGAGGAAAGGACGACGAGAATTCTTCTCAGATTAATATTGAATTTCTTTGTACGTTCCTTTTTGGCATGCCTGTAGTAGTGGAACTCCGATTATTCACATTTAAAATGTTCCAGAAACTTTTTCGTGGAATAAACTATGTTCTTTCTTCAATTAACTTCAATTATTTTGTGCAGTTCAAGAATTAAGTTTCATATTATAATTATCAAAGCAGTTTCAAAGAATCCATTCTGAGAAATATCTAAGCTTCATTTATGACCTAGAGTTATTTTTTGCTTAAAGTTATTTTCAATATTTCTAACCGCATTTTCAATGCAATTATTTCCTTCTGCGAGAGCCCTAGCATGGGATATTGCTGATTAACAAATATCTGGCAAGAACTTTACAATTAGTACTCATTTATTTTCTTCCAAAGATTTCATTAGATTCGTCCATCCATTTACATTTTGCCTTGTATATCTGCTCAAGCAACTGTGAGGGGCTGGCAAAATTCGTTTAAGATTTACAATATATCTGAGTAAGAAGACTTTTACAGATGACTGAGGGCAAAATATTATTCCAAGATTAATTTAGATTAATTTCGATAAAAGAAATTAATTTTTTATTATTGAATCTTTTACAAATTCGGTCTTTTTTCTTTCATATTAATTCCTCACAATCTGCGCCCCAATTTTCTCGCCATCTGATTTCTCGGCAAAAATTTCCAATGCTAGCGGCTGGCGGAGCAAGCCTAACCAGACATTGTGAGCGATAATTTAATTCCTTATTTTCCTTACTTCTCCAAAGAACAAGTCTAACGGTTCCACTGTAACAAAATTGGTATTATAATCCGAATGAAAGTTACGCTTACCATGTTGCAATCAAATAATCGCCGTTGCATATTTTGAATATTATTCGCCTCTTCTTCAGCGCTAAATGAAGAAAATAATTTGCTCGTTTATTCCTGCCATTTATATTTTTTAAAGTTAGAAATGATGGGAAATATTTCATTTATGACAAAATAAAATTGAGTTTTATCATTTTATCATAAATTTTTATAAATAATTTTTTTATTAATTACATTTTATAAATTTTTTTTATCACTGTCAAACCAATGCGGTTGCCGTGAATGATTAACTTATTATTTTAATACTCATTTTTTTTTTTTTTAAAGTGCTTCACTATTACTGGTTAAGCTGGCTCTACTGGCTTGTCGCATTAGGCAATATGCCAGGGAGTCCTTTGGCGATAGAAATACAGGCGAGTCGCCAGCATCACCCGGATTTTTCCGGATTTTTCTACAAGTTTACTTCTGCGGGGAATCGAACCTCAGCATCGATACCCTCAATTGAGCAACAACACACTGAGCTATTTTATCCCCAATTTTGATATCCATAGGAGGAAGAAATTCAGCATTATCTTCTGCCTTGATAGGACCTATCATTTAACGTTATGGATGGATGACATATTTAATTTATATAGGCTGACAGTACAAATCCTATATTTAAAGGCAATTTATTCCATGTGAATAGTAAAGTTTGCAATCAGTGTGAAGGCAAGTATTTGAATAACGAATAGCATTAAAAATATGCCGAATGAGGGAGGCTAATTCTCTTCATTAATAATATTCAACAATTATATTTATATATTATGTTTATTTATCCTATAAAATGATTATTAATATCTAATCTAATTATTAATATTTAATCCACTTCATTATATTAAGATAACGACTTACTTCCAAATCTACTCGGTCCTCGAACTCCAGTTAAACCTTGTTGTGTTATAGGTCTCATGGGAGTTCCAGGTGAAACCTCTATTTTATTTTGAACCGCAATCGCGGATTCTTGCGGTATTCCCATTCTATTTTGATCTCTCTTAAAAATTGCATCGAAATTTTTTAATATTGTAAAATAATTCAAATAATTCAAATAATAATATTTTTATAAAAATATTAACCAGAAAATGCGAAAAATTACCGATGCAATTCGCTGAGATATCAACCCTGCTCGAGTTGCTAAAATTTTAAAATATTATTGATAAAATTTCCTTGTTGTTATTATTATCACTGCTATCACTTTAAAATAGAATTAATGCATCTTATCACTTACGAGCTCTTTTGTCGATTTTCGATTGTTCGATAACCATAGCAGTTCGACTAGCTGGCCGTTCATACACATGTGAAATATGTTATATTTTATATATTACATATTATATCTTATATTTTTAAAAATTCAGTCTTTTAAATATTTCTTTAGCAGAAAAGAAGGAAACCATCTTCTTATGAGGAAAAAAATTGGTTCAATAAGTTGAAAACTTTTTCGATATTCAAACTCAAATTTTTATTTGAAAAAATATGCTTTAAATATTGAAAAGATTAAAAAAAAAATGGTTGAAGTTTCTGGTTAGGTTAGTTCCACTGGCCGTTAGGGCGATTAAAAATTAAATTTTGCCTAATTTTGCGTTAGAAGTGTGAGTGAAAGGATCGCCAGCTTTACTAATGCTTACTCCTGTTTATTCCTGGAAGGAATCAACATGGTACCATTCGATGACTAAAAAATATTGTGGGCACATAAATCCAAATGGAATAAAAATTTAAAAAATGCTTAAAAAATTGAATTAGAATAGAGTCGTCTATAACAATGTTTAATTTTTATTTGAAAATATTCGGTAAAATTTCATGGAAGAAAGAACATCCAACCACAAGCATCATTATAGAAATTGCTGGAAAAACTAGAAATAAAATATGATAATAAATTAAATTACTTACTATTGATGCGTTTTATGCGAGCAGAATTTCGAGAACCAGCTGAAGTTTTCGGCCGCCCTATTAATTGTGACATCGTTGTGATAATAGATCGTTTATCGCCTTCGGTGCTGGTAATCACCAATGATAATTATATCAATGAAATATTTTTTTAAACCAAATAGAAACATATAATTTCTTTTTTTCATGCAGTTTATAAAAACGGTATTTGAAAAGCAGAAATTTATAAGTACAATAGCCCAATGACTTATTGCTTCGGCCATAGATGTTCGCTATTTCGAGGATTTATATAGGGGAAGGCTTTTAATATGGTTTTAAAAACTACTTTTAAACTATTTAACGGTAAATAGCTCGTTAATTGAACAAGTGCGCAGTTTAGGATCAATATTAATAATGTTAAGGGTTTCTAAGGTTACCTATCTGGGCACATTTAAGCAGATAGAAAAAGAAATTTTTGGCTAATTGGCCAATGTTTAGCTACTGAACGATACTACAATATAGTATCTTAATGTTTTTTTCATTTTTCAAACGGAAGTGAAAATATAATAGAAATAATAATATGTCGAAATTTTCGCTAATTCAATTTTGACTGTGGACACAGCCCCAACTCGAAAAATGTACAGCCCAGAGCAAATCGTCCTGGCTTTTTGTTGATAACTTGAAGAAATGCAAGAGAAACTTGACAATACGTCGACAACTGTAGCAAAACTTGTGCTTAGAATCAATATAAATAAAATGAAAGTTTTCTCGCTGGACAAAAAATTCATCAACTAAGGAAGAAGTGATAGACTTAAAGTGAAGTGATAGACTATCATAACCAAGTAGCCTCTTGCACCAAGTGGCCAAGCAAAAGACGAAACTGGGATAATGACAGCTCTTTCGTGCGACGAAATTTTCATGGAATCGCGGCGAAACCACTGTTAATGTTCGCATCTATCTGGCTGTTTACTCTCTTATTATTTATGCATAGCCAATGAGAGTTGAAGATATTAAGAAGATATTACCTATTTTCAACAATTCTTGTCTAATGCTTGTGTTTATTAAGTGGATAAGTGCCCAAATCTACTACTCTTTGCCACCTATAGCAGCAATTGACGCATGTTTCCCATTTGCTCTTTATAATTTATAAATTCACAAATTAATAATAATAAGTCCTGCGAATAGAACCAAAAGATATATTTAAAAACATTTAAGCATTTAAAAAAGTTTTAAACGTTTAGAAAGCCGCCTATCGAAATATGGATTTAGACAGCGGAAAAAATGGCTTATTCCTCGGTAAAGTTCTGATTGCACTATTAGAGAAAGAATGAATATTCCAGGAATATCTCATATGTAAATCCTAGATCTGGCGAGTTTCCGGATTTAGCGATTCTTTCAAGCAAAATCCGATTCGATTTCTTTAGTGATATAATAATTATTATCAGAGGCGATTTCCTTATATTATACCAATGAGCTAAAAAATAATACGTAAGATTTTAACGTAAAGAAAAAGCCCGATTTTCGTTGAACTGATTAATAGCCTTTCACCTAACGAAACAATCAACGTTCATCGATTATTTTGAGAATATATTTGATAAAAAGTAATATCTTTTAAAGCGAATTCATGTAAATTTATGGCCAACGCTTCAGCAGAACCAAAAAACGGCAAAAAAAGGCGAGTAAATATAAATTTCAAAAAAATTCAGCGAAATTGAAAGTAATTCATATACATTTATTTTTTATTTTATAAATATATTTTAATATATATATATAATATATTTTCGACGGAAATTCAGAAATATACGAAGAGTTTTCACTGAAAACCTATTTTATTAAAATTTTATAAGTAACCATTAATTGGTTGCGAATAGCAGTCGGGTCAACTTTCGAATATTTCGACTATAATTGTCTAAATAAAAAATGAAAAATTGTTAGCCAGAATGGAAATTTCATTTTACATTTCATTACATTTACACTTTACATTTTACATTTACATTTTATTTCGTTCAACCAGCAAGCTTTATCAGTTCTCTTATCAGCAATCGATTAGTTCAGTGTATTTAAAAAATTCCGGAAAAATTACTTTTATCCGATAATTTATAATTTATAAATTTATAAATTAATAATAATTATCGTTGCAGAAAATCCAAATTCACCTACTCATCCAGAAAATTTCCACAAATTTAATAATAAATAGTTTAAAAATTTCGAGAAAATTTATTGCAGTGAACTAATTTATTACTTAACTAAGTTGGTCTTTCGCCTAAATATCAATTTTTCAGGTTTTCAATTCACGTGAAATTCATTTCATTTACAACAAATATTGCTGCAAATTATCGTATAATAAAGGCGGGCGAAACTTTGGTGATATAATAATTATTATCAGAGGCGATAACAACGAAAAAATGTTCGCCCTTTTTTTCACCATTATCTTTAATTTTTGTTTTTATTGCGTATTTATCAACAAAAATTATGAGAAATCTTCTTTTGAGTAAATAATAATAATGGATAACATATAAAAATATATACCGTAAATATAAAAATAAATATAAAATATATACCGTAAATATAAAAATATTTTTGTCGGTTTTCCTGAATTTTTATTTCTTTCTCAATTTTTCGAATTCCACGAATTTAGTTTTAATTTAATTTAATTTAATTTAGTTTTACTTACCTCAACAGTAAAATCCTCGTTGCTTAGGAAATTCCCATTTGGCCTTAAATGTTGCTTCCAATATGTCTGAGGACACCAAAAGTTGCCAATATACAAATTAGCAAATAGAAATTCGATTAGAAATAAACAATCATAACTATCACAATCATTACACGGAGGTAAGTGAGCTTCACGACAATATTTTTCAAGTAAACTAGGTACATTGGAATTTGTAATTATACATAGTTAGACTGTGATGCGAAAAACGATATCAACTGATCTGTTAATCTGTTAATTAATCAGTTAATTTAATCTAAAATTTAGGAATTTTCAAACTTTACAATGCGACAACGATTATCATTAGCATTCTTATCAACTGTCGAATACTGCATTCTTTTTGTGGCTTTAATTCAAGCACTTCTCTCATTTATTAATCCGAAGTTTTCGACCGCAATCAGTTTTCTTTTTCTTATTGTACCGATGACCGTAATTTTCCCTTTCTTTTTTACGAAATCACTTATCAATCCACCACAACTGAAATCCTTGACTGATTAACATAAGGTTTGTTATTTTGCAGCATTATTCACAATATTTTTTCGCTCAGATAAAAATTTCTAAGAGAAATTGATACCGATGAGCCCCAATCATCATCTGGATTTTTTTTTAACAATAAGCGTTATTTCTGCTAAGATGCATGGACGGAAGCCACGCTGCTTAAACTCTGCAGAAGCCAAATATTCGACCATCCATCCTACTGATGCATAAACTAAAAAATCGTTGAAAAAATCGAATGTTGTTTACTATAATTACAAATTACAGTATCTAATTCAACTTTTTCTTCCACCTATCTTTATTATCACTTCATTTATTTATATAAGAAAAATTAAGTTTGCTTTCATAAAACAGGTTTAAAAAAGTGCAAAAAAATATCAAATAAAGGCACAAATAAAAAATTTATAGCATAAATGGAAATCCCTAAAATCTTAAAAATCAATAAATTTCTCTTCCTTTTCATATAGCTATTGAAATTCATCCATGGAACTCTAAAAGGTGCAAAATCCATAGACCATTATCTTAAACTACTTCAGCACTTTTATTAATTACAGTTTCGCTATTTCGCTAATTCTCTCGAACTATGGGTTTATCACTCATTTTCTGTCCAGCAACAATGAAGTTCCCCAGAATTCTTCTTATTAACTAAAATCTCATGAATGCAAACAACGAATGTTTCTGAAGACGAAATGGTACTAAGTGTTAGTTTTCAACAAAGATCATCGATCATCGAAATTTTTGTCCTTATCAATTATCTGTTCATCTATCTTTATTTGTTTTTTTGTTCCATTTTTGATTTATGATAGTACCTAATAATCGTTACAATCTATCTGTATTTTGTTTTGGCTTCATTGATAAAAAAAATAAAATCAATTTTGGATTAAAAATTAACCTGACAATATATAAGCGTGTTCGATTCACAGAAGACTTTAAATTTCTAATAGCTCGCACCACTTCTGACTAGGCGAACTCCACTAGCAAACATGAGATGTTTCAAGCCCTCTGCTGTAGCAACAAAACGAACTCGACTTTCCGCTGCCATATGCAATACTGCAATGTGAGCAGAACGCTGCCATCAATCACCATTAATCAATAAAAGAAATCCCAAGGACCGCGACGATGACGGATCAGTAATCTTCTTCCAGCAACTCACGTTGGAGTGACTCCACTAACTGTTAGGTTGGAATTCTATAGATTAACCTGAGGCAGAGAGTAAGTAAGTTCCAATCGTCGGCAGGATTCTGATGCTACGCTCCAGTTAAGGCGCAGCAGTTGAATTTATCGAAGTGCCAGAATGGACCATTCGCCCATCCAGTCTTCTGTTCCGTATGGCTTCATAAAACCGAAGCACACGAAGACTTAAAGGTGTAAAATATTAAAGAACAATTTCCGTCGAATTAATGCCGTAGCTAAAGTTTGATGCAATCTCGGAAATTCTCGGAATCAGCCATATTAAAAGATCGAATTTCGACTAACAAAGCCCGTCAATAAAATTATTTCACACTGCCGTTGCGTTGGAACAAAAAATTAGGAATTAGCCGTTAAATAGAAGTGGAATTGTCTATACGAACTGATTTATAGTGGAGAGGAAGCGGTAGATTTTTCAAAATTTTTTTTCCGGGTTAGTCTGGTGGAGTTGGGGATGCTGTTTTTTAGTCCTTCTTAGATATAGACAAGATGGCGAAGTGATGCCCACTCGGCTACGCTTACCCTCATAACGGAACATTTCGATCACCTCTGTGGGCAATCGACAAGCGTCTTTTTGATTTTTCTTCCCATCATTTTAAAGTTTTTCTAATAAAATATACTTTCGTATTGTTTTTATCGTCACTTTTATTTACATCAGTTTTTTCTTTGAATTATTATTTTCGGCTTCATGAAGCGTTTGTTGTAGTTTTTCGAAGTGGTAAGAATGAAACGTCGATTAGTCCCTTCAAGTCAATCAAAATTAAGCAAACTGCATATCAACTCGCGTGAGGAATATGAAAAATATAAAGAGGGATTTCCTGCAGACGTAAAAGTATTAGTTTGCTTAACGCTTACTTTTAAAAGTTTTGCAGCGGAACCGCTTTTTTGCTACCAAACGATTGCAGCAATATTAGAGGAGACATTGACTTTATTCGAGTAGAATATGTTGCAGCAGTTAAGCATTCAGATCAGTCGTCAAGCGGCAAAAGGCAGAAGCAAAGGGGTATAGAATGGATCAGTAGGTTCTTGTTCAACTCGGAGTGCCGGTGCTGAGATTCTAAGCTCGGCAGAAATTATCCTTCAAAAATTTGGATGATGCCGGAGGACACCTGTATTTCTATCGCCAAATGATTTCTTGACAAAATTTCTTGTCTGATCCGACAAGTTAGAGTAGAAGGACTAATTAGCAGTGGTGAGTGCCCTCAGAAAGGAAAAATTTAATATGAGCGAAGTACTTGAAATTTCATTACTTAGAATAAATCTTCAACCATCGGAAAATTGTAAGGGATTAAAATTGTGATGATCATCCGAGTACTTCATGTAAATTTTGATTAGAAAATCATACAAGGTTAAGAGAAGTTAAGGCCCTCATTTTTCAAATTTTTTATTATAATGTAATATTGTAACATTTTATTATATTTATTGATAAATAATAAAGAGAAAGAATTTAAATAAAAATTAAACGGATAAAGAAAGGATAGAAGATATAAGATTCTTTATTGAAGACATATCGCTGCAAATCAGATAATTCACAATGCCTCTCGTCGTATTCATCTTACTTGTTTTAAAAGGCGAGGCATTTGTGGATTATTTCTTTTAATATTTTCAATTTTCATTTTTATTTTCAATTTTATATTACTGCTTCTTCTTCTAACAGCTCTCACCATTACTGGTTAGACTGGCTGCAACGGCTACAAGGGTAAGACGCTTCCAGCGCGGTCTGATGATATCGTCGACAGTAATGGAAGCCATTCCTTTTTCCATCGTCTAAGTCCATATACTGCTGGTCCACCTATACGTTCAAAATTGATCGTATTAGCCCAGGTCTTGATTGGCCCACCTCGCTTTTGACGCCAACCATCACACGGTTTAGCAAATAACGAAATATACGTCAACTCCTGTGGTGGACGACGGATAATGTGCTCTGATCAGCGAAGGCGGCGCTATTGATAACATAATTTATGCAGGTGGTATTTGAATGAAGATGGATGCAATCATGTGATATTCGCTCGACGGATCCGTAATATGTACCTTAGACAAGAGTAGTCAAAGACAGATAGCTTCTTAATATCCTTCACTCTCATTGGCCATGTCTCAGAACCATATAGTAAGATCGAACGGATCAGAGTAATATAGATGCGGACTTTCGTTTTTATGGTATTCACGACGGCTCCATAAGGGTTTCGTCAACCGGAAGAAAGAATTTTTAACCGCCGTGAGTTTTAATATCGTCTTTTGCCTGTCCATTTAGTACTAGAGTGAATCCAAGGTATTTGAAATCGGGCATTTCCTCGACCGGCAATGAATTTACAAAAAGAGGCATTTTATTAGCTTTTTGCACATAATACTTTCGTTTTATTTACATTGATTTTAAGACCAATACTTGCTGTAGTTTCTGACACGTTATTTAGTATTACTTAGTATTTAGTATTATTTAATATTTAGTATTACTTGCATTTCTTCATAACTATCAGCATAAATAATATTTTCAAGAAGGACAACATCATCAGCGTATTCAAGATCTGTGATGGGATGCTCTGGACTGATTTGGATATCCCTTGAATGCCGACAAGGGGTGTCCATTACCCAGTCTATCGCATAGTGGGGGGAAAGGACGCAGCACTGACGGACACCTGTTTTTATTTCGAAGAAATCTGTCAGCTCCCCATATACACAGACTTGCACCGACGTGCGCTCATAAAATACCTTTATAAGTCTAATGATTTTCTCTGGAACACCATCGCGTCCCATCACCCTACAAAACGCCGTTCTATTTGAGTCAAAGGCAGCCGCAAAGTCGATGAAACACATGACATTGGGTTGCAAATATCGGTCTGAATCCAGCATGATTAAGGCGCATCTTGCTATCTCGTACTTCCATAAGTCTATTGAGTAAAACAGAAGCAAAAATTTTCACTGCGACGTCTAGTCTGATTTCTCGATAATTGTAGCAGTATGTCTTATCACCTTTCTTGAAAATTGGGAATTGCTTTGCGATCATCTGGTAATATTTCTTTTTCTCATACCAGAGAGTACATTTGTTGAAGATCGTTATGAAGGACGATGGGAAATATTTAAAAAGCTCAGCCCAAAGACCATCTTCTCCTGTAGTTTTGTTGGCCTTAAGCTTATGGATAACTGAAATTATTTCTTCTTCTGTTGGAGGCTCGCAATTGCAAACATGTGCTTCGTATATATCAGAGGCAACCGATGGCGCTTCATGGTTAAATTTGGCCTCAAATAATTCTTTCCATCTTATGAGGCGATCCTTAATACTTTTAATTAGTACGCCATTGCTGATTTTTATTATTTCACTGATCGTTCCCCGAGTCACCGAGTCATAGTTGCTTTATGAAGAAACAGAATAGTTTCCTATTGTCGCCTAATCGAGCCGCCGCCTCCATTGTTAAGGATCGCCATGTCACTCCAATAGTGATTTCTTGCTGCCTCCATTGTTGAGGATCGCCATGTCACTCCAATAGTGATTTCTTGCTCCGATACCATATTTGCCAATTGTTGAGGTCATCGCAGCTGCATTATGACTTACGCGAGCATTCCAGTCTCTCCCCATTATGATCATATCATGTTTCGGTAGAGACTTTGTTAGCAGTTGAAGTTCCGCGTAGAACTTATTTTCTTTATCTTCTTTATCTCGATCATTTGCCGACAGAGTTGGGCACTGATGACTGAGATATTGCAGAACTCACCCTTAAAAGCATAGGCCCTACGGTCGTTTACCTTATCCACTCAAACAAAGCGGAATATGCCTTTTCAGACATAACATTCGCTACGTCATTTCGTCCCGAGTTATTCGAAGCATCACAGTGATATAGCCAGTATCTCTGTTCTGAACCAGGATTAATAATTGTTCGAGACTCAAAGTGAGGAAGGCGGGCCTCCGACAAGCAAGCGATATCCACACGATACTTAGACAGGGTGTGGACAATGATCGCTTGGCTTGCAGCGTCCATAAGCGTTCTGACGTTCCACGCTGATACGGCTAATATCTTGCCGCGCATGCAGAAGGCCGTTTCCCTTGATAGGTTTCGAGCAATTACCCTGGCTTGCGAGCACATTTTATTTGCCAGCCTTGGGATCGCTTTAAGCCCGGATTGTATACTTATCGCATGTACCACCGGGCTCGGAGTATCATGCGCGTCGGGAGACGCTGACCCCTTATCAAGTATATCTGACCCTTTCACTACAGAGTCACTTGGAGATAGAGTTACAGGTGGGTCTCCAGCAGCCATCCGATTTTTGACATAATAGCAGGTTTACTCCTTCCAAAGACAAAATTGAATTTGAAGAAAATAATAAAATAGACAATGAAACTTTAAAAAAAATAAAATAAAAATAAAAAAATAATTAAATTTAAAAAAATATATATATAACTGTATGTATATATAAAATATATATAAAATATATATATATTTTATATATTTTTATACAATTTAATTGATTTATGATTTATAATTTATTTAATTTAATTGATTGATTTTATTGATTTAATTTTAATTAATTTTATTTTATTTTAATCGTTTTAATTTATTTTATTTATTTTAGTTTAAAAAAAATTAGAAGTTTAAGAAAACTTAGCTGAACTGTAATCAGAAATGAAAAATAAATTCACAGAAATAAAGAATATTTTTTGAAACGACCGCCAGCAAAAAAAAAAATTTTCTCCAAAAATTTTTCAAAAATTTTGCATTACAAATTCACTTTTAATAAAATATGTAAAGAATTTTTACTAAATTTATTTAAAAATGGTGATAATTTAATCAATTTGAATTTGCATTATGTTTGCATTCATTAGATTTTGCTCCCTTTTTTGCGAATTCATTATTAATTGGAATGAAATTGGTTTAATCTTCCTCAAAATGATTTATGAATAAAGTAGTAATGTTTCAGCTAAATTCTTTATATAAATAATTATATTAGATATTTGCATTTGCCTTTTTTTGCAGGAACTTTCGGCGGAAAATTTAAATATTCAAAAAGTAGATTTCCGATGGTTCGGTATACTTAATCTTACAACACTTTCTTTGAAAGGAAATAATCTTGGGAAATTTCCGGCATTTTTTGATCATTTTTTATGCATAAATCGCCTACAATTACTTGAAAACCTCGTATTGGCTGATAATAAATTTACTGTTCTCCCAGTAAGTTTTCATTCTTCTTCTAATAGCTCTCACCATTACTGGTTAGGCTGGCTACAACAGTAGGACGTCTCCAAGCTGCTTGGTTCGATGCCATCTAGTAGTAATAGAAGCCATTCCTTTTTCCATCGTCTAAGTCCATATATCGCTGGTTCTTCTATGTGCTCAAAATTTTTTCTGACAGGTATTAATCCAGTTCTTGATCGGTCCCTACTCGCTTTTGACGCCAACTGCCACAGGGTTCGGCAAGTAGCGAAATGTGCGTCAACTCCTGTGATGGACGACTTAGAACGTGCCCTAACTAGCGAAGGCGAGGTTCTGTGATAACATTATTAATACATTATTAGGTGGTATTTGAGCGAAGATGGATACTATCATGTACGATTTATCGGTTGGACGAATTCGTAAAATATGTGGTCAGAAACTGATAACTTTTTAATATCTTCCTCTCTCATTGGCCATGTTTCGCAGCCATGTAGCAAGATCGAGCGAACTACCACTATACCGACGCAGATTTTTATCTTTATGGTTCCGTGACGCTTTATGAAGGTTTCATCAATCGTAAAACATATTTCTAGCTGTCGTAACCATTTCATTTCATCCTTTACCATTTGGATTTACAATTTCATCCTTTACTATTTGAGATTAAGTGGATCCGAGACATTTAAAATTGGGCACCTCCTCAACTGTCAAAGAATTGATAAAAATAGTTATTCTATCACCTTCTTGTATATAAGAGAAAGCAATTTCGTTTTATTTACACTGATTTTGAGTCCAATCCTTGTTGCAGTTGTATATTTTTTATCATTATCTGCATTTCATTATAATTGTCAGTAAAAAGGATTGCATCATCAATGATGTAATACTAGCTCTGGACTGATTTGGACACCCCTTGAGTGCTGTAAGCGATGCCTATTATCCAATCTATAATTGAGTATTGTAGATGAAAAGATGCAGCTCTGATGGAGACCAGTTTTTATTTCAAAGGAGTCTGTCAGTTCCCCATATACACAGACCTGTTCTAGAGTATGTTGATAAAATGCCTTTATGAGCCAAATGATCTTCTCTTGAGCACATTTTCCAGAGCGCTGCTTCAATCGAATCGAAGCTAGCTGCAAAATCGATAAAGCTAGTGACGGTGGGTTACTGATACTTGGAGCGATATTCCAGCACCCTTCTTCTGAATGCAATTTGTTTAGGATGTATTCTACTATCTCGTGTTGGCATAAGTTTACTTAGCAGAAGAAAAAATTTTTCTCAAGGTGTTTAGTAGGCTGATTCCTCAGTAATTGTTGTCTCACCTTTCTTAGGAATTGGAAGGAATTGGAATTGCTTTGATCCAGTCTTCTGATATTATTTCCTTTTGCCATACCAGAGAATACATTTGTTGAAGGAGGGTTATGAATGATGATGCGCAATATTTGAAAAGTTCGGTCCGAAGTTTCGGTCAGACCATCTTTTCTGGAAGTTTTATTGGTCTTAAAATTATGGATTACAGAGATTTCCTCTTCGCAGTTCACAGTTGCAAACGTAAGGCTGGACGGGCAAATCAGTTATCTGGGACAACAGATGATACATCGTGGTTAAATTTGGCTTCAAAAGATTCTTTGTATCTTATGAGGCATTCCTTAATAGCCTTGGCGCCCCTTTAATATCCCGTATCATTTCATTAACCCTTTCTCGAAGTTTGTTTTATTATCATAATGTAAATTTTTTCAAGGATAAAATTTTGCGATTTTCGAAATTTTTTAAATGCATTAGTTACTAATGATAAATCGGTGGTGCTATGGAATTTTAACTTTCCTTTCTTAGTTAAATTTCAATAAGTGGACTATTCATTATAAGTGTGATATATTTCTGTTCATTTTTCTCCATGTGAATTATATCTTCTTAATCACATTATCGAACTAAGCTAAAATAAATAAACTAAACTAAATAATAATAATTTAATTTTATAAGAAATACAATAATAATTTAATTTTATAAGAAATTTAACACTAAAACTGATTATTTTCATGATGATCTATGGTTTGCTCTTCCTTTAAGCTTAAAATCTTTGAATCTATCTTTCAATCAAATCAGTTATTTATCGCCAGCTATTTCTGAACTAAAAAATCTTCGGATCTTAAATTTAAGAAGCAATATTATTGTTAATCTTCCTTGCGAGGTAATATTTTAATATGTTGGAAATTTATGAAGTTATTTCGGCACGAAAAATTTAAATTTTATTTTTCAGTTGTGTTTCGTGCCTTTAATGCATCTCGATGTAAGCGATAATCGTATAATTGAATTTCCGTCCACATTTCGAACGTTTATGTTGTGTACGATCATCATTGATAGAAATCCACTTAGAAATAATAATGGTTTCCAAAATTTCTCTTGTGGTACCATACGCAAACGTGCCATATCAGATAAACCACCATTGTTACGACATATAGCATTTTGTTCTGTATTTAATAACCGGTAAGTTCATTTCATTGTCCCTTCTAGAAAGATAACTTGGGTCCTTAGAAAAAATTTTATTTATCGCTAATATTGGCATAACTGCTAGAAATACAGATAATATCATCATCTAAATCATTACTTTTGCAATAACAGAAACCGAATTGTAATAACAGAAATCACTATTATTTTCCTTTCAATTTGTTTGTTACCTTGTGCTTTATTTTATGCCCTGAAAGGACTCTATAAGTTTCATTGCAAAAAAAATTAGGAAAGAGAAAGAAAGAGAAAGAAAAATGAAAAATTTTTTCAAATTTTTAGATTAAAAAATTTATAAATTATTTTTCATTTATCAATTATCTCTTTATCGAAATTATTTATTCTTTTTTTTTAGGTTATCTTTCTATTTACCAAAAACATTATTAAAATCACTGTATGAAACTTCCATCTGCTGGTTATGTTACAGACGTACACCAGTTTTACCTTCGCTTACAGAGGTTTCATTATTCATTCAATCTTTGAATTCTCATTTTAAATTGTTAAGATTTCGATAATTATGTGGCTTATTGCTTAGATTTATCGTGTTGACAGTTAGGGCTTCTGTCACCGGAAAGAATTATCCTGTCATCGAAGTTCTTCTGGCAAGTAATTCTTCCGTAATTCTGTCTCCAAATAATTCACAAATGAAAATCTATTTCATTATACGAACAGATAGCAGAGCGAGTGCTAATCATTTTTTATTAATCATATGTAATAACTGAATATTATTTTAAAATTTAAATTTAAACAGCATTGTAATCGTAAAAATTTTCCAAAAATTTCAGTATGGTGTTTTGGATATGTTTCTTTCTGTACAAAGGGAAACTGATCGGCCAACTGGAATACCTGCTAAGGGCAGCCTATGCTTATTTTGCTATAATGCTTTTTCCTGGGAATTTTGATTAAAGTATTTAAGTAATTCTCGCCTTTGGCTTTATATTTTATATCGCTGAAATTCTGCTATGTTTTTTTAAAAAAAAATTATTATGGTCATTCTGCTGAATTTTATGTTCACAGGTTCATATTTGTGAATTTTTTTCATCTTATCTTCCCGATTTTTTCAGAATCAATTTCACAGAATGAAAAAATTTATCTGTTGAGATGAAAATATTCTATGCATTAAAATTTTTTATTCCATTTTTATTATATTAGAATTTGTGGAAAATGGAAAATTTTTTATGAAGAATTTTGAAAGAACACTGGTTCTAACTATGATTTATCACTTAAAAAAAGGTTTATGAAGAAATAAGGACTAAAGGAAAAAAATTTCAGTTTTTGATTATGAGCTGGTGGATATTTATAAATGAGGAAATAACTTAATGAGTTGAGAATATTTATTTTTAACTTATTCATTTTCTCAGTATTTCATTGTTCATATGAATTCTGATAATGAATAATTGTCATGAAATCTCTGATTTGCAAAATTGTCGTTTTATGACGTGTAAAAATGTTTCATTACTGTTATGGAAAATGGAAGGCACTTTGTTCTCCGAAAAGATGTATGGCAGTAATTATGTTTATATCTTGTCAAGCAAATGCTTTAGTTTATTTCTTTGTGTTAGACTATTCCACTGGCTAACTTTTTCCATGCTTCGAATCTAGGCAGTATATAAAAATGATTTAAGGTACTTTTTTTTACCGTCTTTGGCCATATAGACTCTCTGATAGACTTCTATTAGGCATTGAGCTGGGAATTGAGTTTTTTTTGTCACTATGTTCTCATCGCCAGGTTTTGTGGCAAATGAATATTGATTGGTATTCTAGGCGGTGAAGATCGTTGTCTGACCAGTATCAGTGATGATTTGATGAATTAATCAATATTGACGAAGGTGGTATTGGAGCAAAGGTGAATGCAAAATAGTGCCTGCTTGGTTGTGATGGATTCGTGGATTCTTTCCTTCATAATAATGGTCAAAAATGGCTTATATTGATGTGCTTCAATGCCGTGGTTCGCACACATGTAGAAAGTTTGTTCATAATGCAGGTGGCTGTTATAGTAACTTCCCTTCTGATGCTGATCATCATCCAGAATATTTTCAGTTTTAGCGGTGTTATTTTCATTGGATTTCCTTTTTCGCGTAAGTGTTCGGTGAAAGAGTGAACAATATTTTGCAATTTGAGGTCCTCTAGAATGGAGCGAATTCTTTGGTGCTTTGCAGTAGCTATTTTATCATTTGGTAGATTAAATTTCGTCTTATTCATCTTTATTTTTAAATTTTAAGGATTTTGCTGCATTTTGGTATTGCATAAGTTATAGATCATCGTAAGATTCGCTATATGTTCTAATCCAACTTTTCTATCTCTTGAGTACTAGTGCTGATCTATAATCCATAGTTTAATATTATAGAGAAAAGAATGTGGCCTTGTCATTTTCCAATGCATTTTCCAATGCAATGTTTAAATGCTTTAATAAGTTTGATAATCTTTCAACTCCGTTACATGATTTTTAGAAAGCTACTGAAAATCCATTTTATTTGGAGATATCTCATAAATGGCGCTTTTTAGAACAAAAAAGTTGTTTCCAGGTTTAAAACATTTCCAGGTTTAAAAAAAATGGTCGAAAAGAAGTTTCTGGCAGATGAATTATAATTTTTTGTTGATCGCATATCAAAAATGGAAACCTCTGAATCCAAGTACATTTCTTTTTTTAAATATTAATTTTTTATATTATTTCTAGAATAAATAAAAAAGTTATAAGCGTTAATGGCGTTTTCACAGGAATGAAAGAAAAAATTATAATGAAAATAAATTTTAATAGTAGAAAAGATCCATCAGAATTATTTCTTGAAATTATTTTATCTTCAGATTGAAGCACTTGGAAGTACGACTGAAAGAAGCAGAAAATTTATTGAATCAACTCTCTATAAAATTTAAAAACGTCGAAGGTTTATCGAAATTGGAAAAAAGATTACATCGTGAAATTGAAATTTCCAAACAAGTTAATACTTTCGATTAATAATTCTCGATTTTTGCCTTTTTTCTTTATTTTGCACTTTTATTTCTCATATCCAATCTTCGAATGTGAGGAAGTCCTCATTAATTTCCTCTCAAGTAAATAATTTCTCCATTAAGGTCAAAACAGAATCTTTGTTGCTTATTGTTTTAAGCATATACCTCTAGCGAGAATAAATTTATCATTAAAATAAATTAATAAATTTATCGGGGTGCTTGGATATTAGCGTTATTTCAGTCCCCTAGTGATTTCTTCTTGTCCTACGGGTATAGCGATTATAACCAAATAACTATTATTTTTGAACTATTACTAAATATTTATTTAATACATTATTATATATATTTAATACATTATTTACTTTATAGGTTAAGACCAAAGCAGTTGACCAAATAGCGAAGTTTATTAAAACAACAAATATCAGTTATTTTTCTGGATTTATTTGCGTTGCACAACAGTACAATTGTTGCGCGTTCTTTAAAACTTTTCAACTTTTCGATAATAGGTTGTTATTTCAAATTATAATTTTTGTTCTTTTTCCAGCTTTATTCCACCAATAATTCATCTATGATTTTCAGATAAACCATTTAATTAAACCGATTCAATTTAGCTTATATTTTTTGAGATTTTTCCCAATCTATTTCTAATTTAAATTTTTTAAAATGAGACCGGGTGATGTTGGCAACTCAGATGTATTTCTATCGCCACGAGATATTTCCGGCACATTTTTCTAGTGCGACAAGCCAGCGGAACGAGTCTAATTAGTAATGGTGGGTAAAAAAAGAAAAAAAATTGGGTGAAAATCTACCTTATGTTATGTTATTTTTAGCGTTCGGAAACTGGAAGTGGATATTATTGCAGAGAATGGAACTAAATGGGTTATTTTTTTGCAGATTATTTGCTTTTATTCGTAGACAAAGATTTTCATCTACTTTTGTGCTAAGAGAAATGGTAAATGTTTCTTGTAAACTAAATTTTTGGTCCAAAGTCTATTAATTGGGTATTTCTATCATTTGATTCTTTTTAAATATATATAAAGAAATTTTCAGGAATTATTTATCATATATTTTCTTCTAGATTAAAGTAATTACAAGAAGCAGTCGATCATTAGCACTGGAAAGTGTCGGAGCCGCTGATAGAACATTACGTCATGCTGAGCAATATTTGACTGTTAGTTTTTTCTAATTATTCGTTCATTTACATTGTTAAAATTATTATAAAATTATTGTCCAATTACTACAGTTATTATCATATGTGGAAGTTTGTATATATAAATTCTTTGTTAGAAAATTCATAAGTACTTTTTATTTCACAAACTTTGGAAAAATTTTATTTAATTTTGTATTTTCAGTTTGCTAGCAATTTTCTCATATTTTTTCAACCACCTTCTGTAATTATGGAGTTTGTTAATAAAGTTCCAGATGTTTTAGCGAAAAAACTAACATCACTTGGAGTAGAAGTTAAAGGAGTGGAGGTCAGTGAGAAAATTTTGTTAATTAAAATAAAAATATTAAATGCGAAATTCTAAGAAATTAAGGACTAAAATTATTTTATAAAATTCTTTTATTCATTTTATTGTAATTGCTTATTGTAATTATATATTGTATATACTATATACTTATTATATAAAATTTGGTGGAATGAAATTAAATTTTCCATTATCTTATCTCTTAATTTTTAGTTCATTTTACAATTTTTTAAATGACATATAAATAAATTTTTTAAAATTTTTTAGGCATCACTGAGTGATTTTATAAACCTTCCGTCGGTAGATTCAGATGATGATTTTTATCAAGAAATTCTTATACCAGAACCAATTCGACAAAAACCAGTGGTCATTGATACCGTAAATTTTGACGTCAGTGCAGTTTTTGTCCTCATCTCCTCCATGACTGAAGAAAACGGTACTAATTACCGTTTCAGGAGTAGTTTACTGGAAATGCAAGCAGAAGAAGAAAGAAAGTTGCCAGCAAGGCCTATGTTGATTGAAGCTATGAAAGGTTTTTGGTTTTTAATAATGTAAATGGTTTTTAGTTCAGGAAATTTTTTTATTATTATAAAGGAAATAAAATTACACTTCACCATTATTGTAGAAAATATTTATAGTTTTCGAATGGATATATTTTTATAAGCTTTTAATCATGTCTTTTTTTTCATGATATTTTATTTTAGATAAGCGATTGATCATTTGTCGGTCCGCATACAACGCTGTCCGGGAAATAATAAAGACTGTTGCTGGTGCTTCTGAAAAGAAACGCGCCGAAATATTTCTTGATAAAATTGAAATCGTAGAAGACAAGTTATCACAAAGAATCGAACGTTTGCAAACTGGTTTAAAAATTACTAAAAGAACAAAAGTTGGTTTTTTCAAAAATTTGCTTACTAATTATACTAGGTTCAGTTTTCAGTTTTGTTTTTTTAACTGAAATTTTCATCTGTCAAACTTTAAGTTCGAATTTTTATATCTTAGATAAGGTTCAAATTCAGGTAATATTCGGTTCAGGTGATTTTTATAAAGCTGTAACTGCCACATCTAATAAACATTTTGTAAATGCTGCGTCTCAACAGGTTCTTTTTCTTGACATGCTAGCACAGTTGTTTTCAAAAATTGTTTTAAAAGTACCAAGTTTATAATTTATAAAAAAATTTTTAAATCATATTTTCATAATTTTTTTTTTACAGGGAGTATCACTTGCAGTGATTTTAGTTCAGTCGAGAGCACTCAGTGAACAAAAACAGATGGAACTTTTAGAACGTTGAGAGGATCATTTCATCTTTTATAGATTACTGTGAAATATTTTTTCGTATTTTAAAACTATTTTATCATTAAAAGGAATTTTTTCTTACATTACATTTACGCTTCTTACATTTCTTATTTGTAACCATGCTTTTTTTTTTAAACTTTTACTTTGTCCTTTCAATTTTTTATCTGATAAATTGTAGTTCTGCCTCATAGTTTTACACTTTGCTTTTTAAGAATTGCTGATTTCGTCCATATTTCATTAGATTTTCTTTAGATTTAAAAAAAAAGTATTCTAGTTGAATTATCAGTTATTAGTTATTTTCTCAGAAATCTCGCTTGGCATTTTGCGGCATTCGATATGAACAGCTATGAACAGTTCTGAAAAATAGTGAATAATTTAAAAAACAAGAATTAGCTGGGTTCATTTACTTTTTTAGACCCACTAATTATTTCAAAAGTTTGGGCGCAGATTTGTGAGAAATCTATTGTATTTGCCATGTGGTTTTGCTTATTTTGCAGAAAAGTCCATGGGGTGTTGTCTTCCATTATCTTTGATTGGAAAAATCGACTGCAAGCAGAGTGGCGTACGTGCAGTACGTTTCAATGGTAAATTTTTTCATTTAATTATTTTTAAAATATTTGTTCTTTGCCAAATGTTTCAGTTGACGGGAATTATTGTATGACATGCGGTGCAGACAAAACGGTAAAACTGTGGAATCCTTATAAGCAAATTTTATTAAAAATATATACCGGAACAGGTTGGGAGGTTTGTTTAATTTTTCGTCAATATTCAGTTGCTTATTTCATGTGCCAAATATTTAATTTCTACATTATCTTAATCGATTTTAATTTTGTTTTAATCGGATGAAATTTTGGAATATCTTAGATATTAGATGCGCAAAGCTCATCCGATAATTCTTCCATATTGGCTGGTGGTCTCGATAAGCAGTTAACAATTTTTGACGTTGAAACAGGTAAAATTACACGTCGGTGGCGTGGGCACAGTGGTGAGTTTCTTTTTTTCCACTCATTTTTCTCATTACAGTGTAATTATTTCAAATTCAGAATTCTGAAATAATTATTTTTTAACTTCCGATTTAATCTTTCTGATTTCTTTCTTTCTTTTGCTTAAAAGATTTTATTAATATCGTATGTCGTAATAAGTCAACATCGTCCTCAAAAAAATTTCAAGAACTTTTGTAGGAAAAGTTAATTGCGTCGCTTTTAATGAGGAATCCAATGTGGCATTATCTGGATCGCAAGATGGCATTGTTAGATGTTTCGATGTTCGTGATAAATCGGGGCCAATTCAGGTTAATTTAATTGAATTCATATTTGTTAAATTTTATTCCTGTCGTCATTATGATCTGTTTTAAAGTTTAAAGTTTTAAAATTTTTCTTTAGGCTTTTTTTAGTTCTGACATGTTCAGAATAACTCTCACCAACTCTATTACTGGCTTTTGTCTGTTTAGTGCATTGGAGAATGCCTTTACGGGCTTCACAAGATTTCTTTTAGCTCAGTTTTTATTAATTATTAATTATAGTTTCTGGATAATTTTTTTCAAGGTTCTTGATGAGGCTGCAGACGCCGTATTATCAATTGATGTATGCGCTCACCAAATAGCTTCAGGGAGTGCCGATTCAAATGTTAGAATCTACAATATTCGCGAAGGGAAAATGAGTATGGGTAAGTGGAAAATGAGGGTGAGTAATATGTATATTCGCTGAAAATCAGTTTTAACTATTTGATTTTCAGATTTTGTGGGCGATAGTGCTACTTCTGTTACATTTTCTGGTGATAGTCAGTGTATCCTGGTATCTACAAAGGATGGATTTGTTCGATTGTTAGATAATAACAATGGAAAATTGCTTGCTGAGTAAAATTTTAAGATTTCAATCCTTATTTCGATTTACTTTAAAATCGCTTTATTTAATTTATTGATTTATTGCTAAATTTAAATATTTGCAAGGTTGTTGCGTTTTTCTAATTAATAAGCGATTAGAGTTTTCTAATTATGATTATTTTTAGTAATATGAAATTTTGTAATCGATTCTTATGGCATTTTGAAATATGAAATATAATCTAAATAAAACGTTAAGGATATTTGGATAATATTTTTTTTAGCTGTGAAAGTAAAGAAACAATTTTTCTTTCCGTATTTTAGTTACACTGGCCATATGAACAATGAATATCGCATCGAAAGTCGCATTTTATCGACGGAAGCCCATGTTCTGAGCGGTTCAGAAGATGGAAAAGTATATATATGGGATCTCATCCATGTTAGTTAGTTTTAGTTTTCATATGTTTTTCATATTTATTGGGGCAATTTTCTATATTTATTGGATTGATTTTGCGCTAACTTTTATAAATTTATTTGATATTCATCTAATTTAAAACATTTTTGCAGATGTCCTTACTGCATCGCCTAGTTCATCCCGATCGAATCATTCATTCCGTATCTGTCCATCCAACTAAACCATTTTTTCTTTCTGCTTCCTCTTCAACCATATTTTTCTGGGGAATTTCTGAAACTGAAACCGTAATTAAGGCTAACAGTTAAGATTTTTTAAAAATGTCGCTTGTTTTTATCAGTTTTTATCAGTTTTCTCAAAAACCCATAATTAAAAATCGAAAGACTAAAAGCAAAATCCACTTTTTTTGTTTGTTTGAAAATAAAATATTTCAGAAAATTTCCCTTATTTTTCTTTTCCATCCATATTTTGTCTTCTTTTTCCTCATTTTTCTATTTTTATTCAATTCGCTATTTATGTATATAAATTATATTCTTACAAAGAAATTTCATGAATGAATATTATAAATATTACAAATAATTTAAATATTATAAATTTGAAAAAATTTTTCATCGGTAGTGTGGTGAAATACAATACAGAACTTTGTTTGTTTCTATAAATGCAAAAATAATGATAGTCCATCAGGAGACGAATAAATATTAAAATAATAATATTAATAATAATAAATAACAAACGAATATTAAAATAATAATTTAATGAATTTTCATACAATTTTTCATAGGCAATTAATTTCAGTAAATTTATGTTAATTCGCACATAATCAAGTTTTCATTTATTGCAGTCTGAAACGTTCCTATTCTTCATTTGTTAATTAAGCATTCATTGAAAACCACTTATAATAATTTCAATTTGATAGTTAATTTTATTTAGCGATCGCAGAAAGAGTGAAAGTTTCACAGCTTGCGTTTTACAAATTGAAGAAGTTAACGGCTTATGGTCCAAGTATTTTATAATCACTATCGCAAAATACAAAGGAACTAAAAATAGGAATGGAAGAGTAATTGACAGTTATTATAGCACCGATGTATTGATGATCATCAATTTGCTAGAAAGATTTAAAAAATTAAAAAAAAGAATACAAAGAACAAATGGGTGATTTTCGCCGGAAAACTATAAATTTATTAGCAAATGCTGTATTGTTAATTGGTATAACTGTGAGGAAATACGAAGAAAGTTTATTGTCACGGTTTCTAATCTTTTAAACTTTTCACAATTTGTGGAATATTTTTAAGTATTAGCGTAATGAACTACAGCAAGATGCGCCTTAAACCAAATTGAATTCAGGCCGCCGCACTATTGTACCATATACTCACATTAGAAAGGGTGTTGGAAAATTGCTTCATATATTGGCGATTCACCGTCACTTATTCTATAGAATTTGCCCTCGATTCAATTGATAGGGCAATGATTTGAAGGATATGACAATATTCCAGGAATATCATTCGATTCAAAAAGCCATTTTATTAGCGCACATCGGCTCAAGTCTGTGTATATGGGGAACAGACTCCCTCGAATTAAGAAAGAAGTGTCCGTCAGGTCAGGCAGGACTAATATTCCCTACAATGTTCAATTACGCGATAGACTGGATAATGGACATCGGCATTCAAGAGAAGTGGAAATTATTCCATAGTATAGTATTATAGATCTTGAATGAGCTGATAATGTAATCCTTTTGATACATTTTTGCAACCTACATGTTTCGTTACTTCCTAAACCGTGTGACCGATAGCATTAAAAATAAGGAGTGCCAATCAATAGCTGGAGAAGATTCGGAAAAGATTTTTAATGTATAGGTATAGTGACCCACTGGTATAGGCATTTAGACATAAAAAAGGGAATGGATTCTATTACTGCCAGCGATGGTGTCAGATCGAACAATCTGGAAATATCATTGTAGCCAGCTTAGCCAGCCTAACCAATAATGGTGAGAAGAAGAAGAAGTGTTAAAATAGAGTTTAAGAAAATTCTATGATGGTAGGTTCTTTTATTTTAGTAACAGTCAGCATCTGGTTTACTTGACTCCACTGATGATTAATATGGAAGCAAAGGGATCATTTGGAGATAGAATTACAAGTGGGTCACTAGCATTACGTGGATTTCACTTTTAATGACATGGATAGGAATCGAGCCTGTGCTGGTAAACTAGTCGAAAAAATGCCATTCCACCCATACGACCTCGTCGTGGAACTTAGATGGACGAATGTTGATATAAAGAAATAAATGGTTACCAGCAGTTAAAAAAATCTCACCAAATATTATTAGCATAATCGATTATTGAATAATATTGTTTTCATTAGATGAAATCGAGATGAAATCGAATTTAAATTTGTTTTATTTGTTTGTTGCCAATATTTAATATTTCTTATTGCTATTATATTTCTTATTGCTATTGTATATTGTTATTATTATTATTATTGTATATTATTATTATTATTACAAGTTATTAAAAATGTAATATTGAAGAGATTAATATTGCATGAAAGAATAAAATGAATATGCACAATTGGGAATTAATAGATGACCGGTGTTGGGCAAACATAATTACCGTATAGATTCGGTTTTCTAGCATTTGGTCATCATCATCATTAAATGTATTGCATACTAAGAAGGTATTGTCCGACAAAGTGTTAAAGGTCATCGTCGGAATGCATCAAAGTCATCAATAGTTTTCTAAATGAATGAAGAGAAGCATTTAATACACTTAACACATTTGTATATTCGTTCACATTATGGTCGATTCCTTTAATCCTATTTCTATTATCCAATTTTCATTTAATTTCTCAAATTTTTGGATACCTTGTCATTATGAATGCAATGAATCGATTTATTCGTTAAGTTCAGCAATGGATTTTGATATTTGTAAAATTTCCTTTATTTTTATTTCCTTTATTTCGTCTTTGCATTATTTGACTGATTTAAAGTCGGAATTTTTAAGTATCTTCCAGCACTCTTCCAGTGTCATAGAAATAATATTAAAGAAATTCATGAACTACACCTTCATCTGCTATTTAGAAATCTCTCAAATATCTCTCCAATCCTATTTGATGCCATATTCTTTCTTCGGGGGCTTCGAGGCTTCGACAATATCAGAAAACTACGAAATACATCTATATTTTGATATTATTGCACATAAAGAATGTGAACTTTTGGTGCTTTTTTAAAATGGATTTTTAGATTATTATCTTGTCCATAATAAAGCAACTTTGAAAAGTGAGAAATCATTCAACAAGGCTAAAGGTTTTGTTGGCATATTGTATGGTACCTGCATAAGTCATTAATTTTCTTTGTCCTAGATTTTTTGTAATTCCAGTTTAGACTGGGGATGCTGGGAGAATAGACAAAATAATTTCATTTTTTTTGTTTACAAATTGATTCAAATTGATTTTATGCATTCTTTTGGTTTTAGTTGGTACTGTTTCATTTATCTTGGATGGTATATTTTCCACTTTTTTTTAAACTAGGAATTATTCCTTGGCTTGGGAACCAAAGTTCCCTGTTTTCCTCCATTTAACTTGCTGGCAAGCGACAAATTTTTATATTTTGTCTATTCTCCCAGTATTTCCAATTTTTTCCATATCACTGTAGTAATATTTAAAAATTTTTCCCACAGTTTTGATTTTTTCAGTGACTTTTTAAAGTAGAACTGTCATAAAAATAGTTATGAAAATTCTTCAAATAGTTTTTACTTGTTATTTAGAAATAAAATTAATGCTGGATTAATTAAAAATTATTTTTAAAAGCGATTTTCATAAAAGTATTTGGCATTTCATTTTTTTTTTTTAGCATCGTGGACTATTAGTATAGTTGGGAATTTTTAGAAGGGAGTCGATGGGAGTATAGACCACCCGCAACTCATAATGACATTTGTCGAGGAGGACTAAATCCATGATGTTCCACATGATCGGAAGCAACCACATCAGTTGATCGCCCCCTACCCAAAAACTTTATGAAATTTTTCCTATTTGCTAGAATCTAGATTTTGCTAGATTTTCTGCAAAATCGTAATTTAATGCTAAAATAATGATTGGATAGGATAAATCTCATCGAATAAATGGAACTTCCATTGCAAAATAAATTGCATTGCTTACTTTTTGTTGGCCAATATTTTCTGACATTTTTTATATTTACGAAAAATTTTTATTACAGTTCAAGCATTAATTTTCAATGTTTGCAAATCTTTATCACTTCATTTTTATATTTTTAACTAGAATCTAATATTTTGATAAACTTAAGACAAACAATTTCTAAAATAGCAAAATTGGCTTTAAATCATCTAAAAATATTTTGGCTGATCCAAGAATAGGTGATCCAGAGGTTTAATTATCCAGAGCTTAATAAGGAAATAGCCTAAGGCTGATCTATAATTATGCTTAAATTATATCTATTTGCTTGCTTGATTAAAATCTAAATTTTATCTGAGATTTCTGATATCCGAATTTCTGAATAATGGAGCTTATTTAAATATAAATTTGAAACTCTGTATGAGCTTAGTTTTGTAATTTTATTTTTAAATTTTTATCATACATTTTTAAATTTAGTTTTCAGAGAAATTTCTTAATTTTCAGGTTACATTTCTGATAAATTTTTCTTTATAGAAATTCATAAATTTTAGAAAATTTATAATAAAAATTATTAAATTCTTATTAAACGACATAGGAATTATTGACGATGTAGGTGAAATTTAATAAAAACAATTGTTCAGCATTATCAGTATTTGATACAAAAAAAGATTTAATCGGTCGCTTCGATTATTTAAATTTCCATAATCAAATATTTAATTTTCACTCAAATAATTTGCCAATTAAATAGAAAAATTATCAGATAGTGAATAAATATTGCAAAATTTACCTCGTTTGTATTAATTCCAGGCCTTCTTTCCTCGCTTCTGTAATTCAATTTATCTTAATTTTTAGCATTTACGTTGTTGAATATTTTAAAGATAATATTTTAAAGATCAGACGATTATTTCTCGATAGATTGATATGAAATATCAAGAATAAATAGAAGAAATATAAAGGTTGATGTTGGCATATATTTATTTTTTAATGGCGCTCACCATCTCTAGTTTGGCTGGCTTCAGTTGTAGAATCGTTTGGGATTGTCATCTAGAAGATCGAAGCGCAAGTGGATCGCCAGAATAATTGAGATTTTTTTTCAGGTTAGCTCCTATCGGGATGCAGGCACAAAGGGCCTTAGTCGAAATAACGGGTGATGCTGTCAACTCACCTGTATTTCAAAGGACTGGCGTATTGCTCAATGTGACAAGCCAGTGGAGCGAGTTTAACCAGTAATAGTGAGGACTTATTATTATCAGTAGAAATAACACTCAACATATCTATTCCTCATCATGTTCACTATATTCCCTTAAATTCAAGAAAGATATAAATATTTTTAACAATGAATTTGTCTGTTTACTTCCTATTTTATCGCAGAAAGTAAATATTTTCTTGGGCAATATTTTATTATATTGCAAAGTAATTAGAAGAATGCAAGCAATTTTGAGGAATTGCCGACATTTATTTAATTATTAAATCGTTATTAACCAAAATATTTCTCAAAATTATAATCTAGTTACAGTATATCAGTATGTGGTTATAAATAAGATTATATGCGTTAAAAGATTTTTACTCACCATTTCTGGCTTTTTCTTTCCCCATTAGTATGGTGAAAAAGTTTTACTAAGGAGTTGAAGTTCCACTAAAGCGATAGAAGGTAGCGATAAGCGATAGATACAGATGGGTTACCAGTACCACCTCATATTAATAAGATTATTATGATTACTATGATTATTAATCAATTAACAAGCCCTTATTTTTTTCTTTTACCTTTAGTTGATTGGTAAATTAATTATTTTATTAATTACTTTTCCATTTATTAATTTTCGATTTCTTATTGTCGATTTGGTAATCGCTGCGTAATTCGAGAAGATTTTAGTTTCTAATTACGGCGCCAACATTCTTTTCCGTTATGCTTGTTTTATATGGAATGAAAAATTATATTTGTTTAACCGATTCCGGTAATTTTTTTATTCCATATAATTTTCCCATTTTGAAAATTGTTTTTCGTATTTTAATTTTAACTTCTTCTGACAGTATTATTCTTTTGTACGGATTTACTGATAATTAGAATGAGATTTTTTCTCTAGAGTCAATCACTTGTGGATAGAAGCAAAAGTGGGTCACTGGTCTATCACTGGTCAGATTATGAATTTGGCAATGAATTTATGATGATATGGTAATTAGCCTATGATACAATGATATCTTTTGAATCTATTCTAATTTTTGAATACTAAATTTTAATAAAAATAAACATAAAATAAATTAACATGAACGATTCGATTTTGACCGGATTCTAATACCTTTTATTCATAGTTTCACTGGCAGAATGTTAATGTATTTTGTAAATACTTTGTAATGAATCAAAATTAAGCAAACCATGAAATGAAAATTAAATGAAAATTTTGATGGAAAAAAGAGAGACATTTGGTCCTATTTAGACCATTAGCTTAATATCAATTTAATCCTACTCGTTGACCTTAATAACAATTGTTTTGAAAGAATTAGTATAATTGACAAGCGGCTTCAAACCTCCTACAAAAGTTTTAAATTCCAAATTTTTTGAAATTTTGAATAAGAATAATTTGTATTCGATCCCGACAATAAACGACAACATACTTATAGTTTTACAGCCAATTACCGATTAGGCCAGCGGAGTTAATGACCAGAAATGGTTTCCTCCACTTTTTTCATTTTTATACTATTGATAATCCCTGTTCTTTTACAAAAGCTAATATTTCCATGTAATTTCATATTTAATTTATATATATATATATTGAGGAAGTGTCCGATATTTTAAATTCCTTAGGTCCACTCTAATACCAAATGGACAGGCAAAAGATGATATTATAACTCGGACCACGGCAGTTAAAAATTTTTTCTTCCGGTTGACGAAACCCTTATGGAGCCGTTGTGAAAACACCATAAAAACGAAAGTCCGCATCTATATTGCCGTGATCCGTTCGATCTTACTATATGGTCCTGAGACATGGCCAATGAGATTGGAGGATATTAAGATGCTTTTGACCACTCTTATCTAAGGTATATTTTACGGGTTCGCTGAAGGGATAAAATTTTGCAAGATCGCATCCACTTTCGTTCAAATACCACTTACATAAATAATGTCATCGCCTTCGCTGGTTAGGGCACTGTCGTCCACCACAGAAGTTGAACCACAGAAGTCATATTTCGTTATTTGCTAAACCGTGTGACGGTTTGTGCAAAAGCGAGGTGGACCAATCAAGACCTGGACCGATACGGTGAGAAAAGATTTTGAACATATAGGTGGACCAGCAATATATGGACTTAGACGATGGAAAAAAGAATGGCTTCCATTACTGTCGACGATATCATCAGAACGCGCTGTTTGGAAGCGTCTTACCCTTGTAGCCGTTGCAGCCAGCCTAACCAGTAATGGTGAGAGCTGTTAGAAGAAGAAAATATATATATATATAAAGTTAATTTTGTATCAAAAGCCATTTTGAAAACGGATGAACTTTTCATTAATACGCTTCTCCTATTATATTAAAATGCCTTATTAAATCTAATTAGCATAATTGTATTTATTCATCTCTATTAAGGCAACTATCGCTCATTCCGTAGTATAACTAACGACTAACTAACTAATATAGAAGGGGAGATCCATCTCATTGACGCTCGAAGACTCATTAATAATGTTTAGAGTATCGATATTAAAGCAATCTTTCAGCAATCGTTTTGACTAATAAATTTGCTTTTAAGTTGTCAAAAGAAGAAAGAAGAAGATGCTATTTTTAAGATTGAAAGAAATAATTAAATGAAAATCAAAGTAAGTATTATTAAATGAGACGATGGACGAGAAAAAATTAATAGCGAAGAATATTTCAAATTTTGTCGGAAATATAAAATAAATTTGAGTGTGACGGCAATAGAATAGGGTATAAAATTATCATATAAGATTTAATTCGAACTATTACTCAGAATTTAGCAGTGATTGCCGAGCAGGTTGCTTCGACTAAAATCAAGTATTATGGTCTCGATTCCTTGCCCCGCTATGAGTAAGCTTACCATTAGAAAATCCAGATGATGACTCTCGCCAAGCGGTTCCTTGAATTTCTAACCGTACTGACATCGAGAGCAGTTAGCCTAATGGTAGGCGCTGGTTTACTTTATTGGAAATTTGGTGATCTGATGAAAAATTATGATATGATGAGAAAAATAAAGGAAAAGAAGGGTGTGAAAAATGAAAAATTTATTTGAATAAATAGGAAAATAGAAAACGTGATGAGGCAGTAATTAGACGTTTTCTGATTGATTCAAATTTATTATCGTCGACTTAAACAGCAATCAGATTAGAAATGAAAGAGAGAGAGAGAGGGAGGTGAAAGAAACGCCCTTTTATGGTAAATGAGCAGTATGGCTACGGTAGATAGGAATGGGATGATGAGCGTAGATTATTGCGAATATTTGCAATGATTATGGAACGAAAGTCATCTAGTACGAGTTTCTCGATTAGCAAACTGTTAGAAATAAATGATAAGCCACAAAAGCTTCAGAAGTTGAATGATGAGCCATCACAACTCGAGAATATCGTTGTATCGCAAATACAATCCTTTCGACAAGTACAACCAACTGCTGCTATTACTGCTAAAATTGATCATTTGCTTAGTCAACGACATTCGGATAAAGCACCAATTCATCGAACTACTACTGATACTGCTACTACTATTAACACTATTGATGATAAGATCAATTCTTCATTGCGTACTGATTCACTGCCACTTTGGTTGACATGTGCAGCTGCAAATGTACCTTTTGAGCATAATTTTCTTATGGCCCAACGTTCTAGTACGTTTTCATTTCGCTAAATTTCTTAAATTTTCAAAGATTTCTGAAGAAAATGAGTGGAATTTTTTGAACAAAATAATTTACTAGGGCGTAAAATGTTATTAAACGACCCAAAAAAATATGTGATGTTATTTGGTGATGATTCGGCGAACTCACTTTTCCAGAATTTAATTTTCTATTGTCTTGTGTTTTTTTGTACATTTTTCTATTGGCAATTTTTATCATCTTTTTTTCCAAATATAAATAGTTTTTTGACGATTTAATGAATTGGTTTGTCTGATATTTTTTAATCTAAGTGAATTAAATCGGAACCTAATAAAAGAATCTACTTTGATTCAGGCTGTCAGTTTTGCTCTTGGCTGATTTCAGAAAAACAGGCAATAAGGCCTTTTCATCATCCTCAGCTTAATTTCGGATTAAATTAATATTATTTATCTTAATATTATTATCCATTGCTAGATGCGCTATTGCTCATTTAACTTTTATGTTCCTTCATTCTCATTTTCTAATACATTTTCAAGTGAAAGTCTTGAGGTATTAAATAAATAAAATAGAGATTTTAATCAATTTAAAAATTAAACATTTAATCGATTATTTTAAGAAATTCGCAAAAACTATTTATTATGTCTAAAATGTCTAAAATATGAATACGAATTGAGATTTCGTAATTTTTGTCAATGATCTTTTTTACCTCATAACTAATGATTTTTAAAGTTAAAGTTAATAACATTAGTAAATATTCTTTTGTGATTGGTTAATTCCCCTTTTTCTTTTAACGGCACTCATCATTTCTCGTTTGATTGACTTTGATTTGATTGACTGATTGCACTGACTGCTATGGAGAGTTTTCCGCAAGAATCTCATTTAGCGGCAGAGCTACATATAGTAGGTCCTCAGATAGGACCTCAGAACTATCGTGATCTTAGTTTTCACTTTATCCTTATCAAAAATTATAAGATCCACGGCTGTCTGAGATCAGTCAAAGCAACCTATGGGTCATTTTGTTTTCTTACATATGCTTAATTAATTTTTAACTCACCAAGGTGCATTGAGCTTACCGTACTGAAATATTATAGACAATTATCGCTATGGCATTTGCGCATCCCTTTTTTTAACTTTTGCTTGGATCGCCATTCTCCAAATCACTTATTTTCCTGCAATTATTTTCAAAGAAATTGATTAAACCTTTATTTCATTAAATTTATATGATAGAATTTTATAACAATAATAATAATCACCAAATAACTTATGACTTAATTATTTTAATATTATTAATATTATTCTCCTAACATAAATTTTAAAATTTTGGGCTTTTTTCAATTAAAATGGAAATTCACCAGTGTAAACTAAATATTTATGGCTAATTTCATCCTTTGGTTGTATAAGTGAAAATGGCTTTATGTTTACATTATTAATTCAATTTTAATAATTATTTGATAATTTACTTCCTAAGTTAATCTTTCACTATGGAATTTTTTTTTCAAAAATTTGCTTCACTTTAAAGAAATGCAATTGACTGGAAAAAGTGGATTGATTATTTTTGCAAAATTTCTGTCGCTACTAGAACTTTTTTAGTAGATTAGGTAACAAGTAACAAAGAAATAACAAACTTTATCGAAGGAAATGGAATACTTTTAGTGTTTCCGCATCTTTGGACTGCATCTGCAAGTAATGATGCTTTGCGACTTGTATCAACAAGTAAATCATATCGACGTCGAAAGGCTCGTACTGTATTCTCCGATCAGCAACTTCAAGGTCTTGAAAAAAGGTTTGAATCACAACGGTATCTCTCAACTCCAGAACGAATTGAACTAGCTTCTTTACTGAATTTAAGTGAAACACAGGTAATAATTTTTATTTTTTCAGGCAAAAATGTTGGTAGGAAATCAATATAAATTTTTTAATAAATTAAAAAGTTTTAGAATATAAAAATGAAATAAATAATCTCGATAATTTTTAAAAAAAAGCCTATAGCCAATCTATAATATGAAAAAGTACCCAATATGCAGGATATCCAAGAAAAAAAGCAAATTAGTAATGAAAAACAAGTATTAATTTGAAACAGTTTTATTAAATTTAGGTTAAAACATGGTTTCAAAATCGTCGAATGAAACATAAAAAGATTGTTGGAAAAAAAGGTGCTAATGGCTGTGGTGATGACAATGATGGTGAATCTGATGGAGACAAGGAGTCATCATAGTAAATTTTTCATCCGATATCATTTTTAATTATTTCAATCATATCTGATTTAATAAGGTGAGATAGCTTCAGAAACGCAATCTATTGTAAATATTTTATCTATAAAAATATTGATGAGTGGGTCAGCACTATCGTATTGCCAACTTTTTTTATAAGCAATTTCATTGCCTAACATCAAGCTTTCCCGTTTCAAAATGGTAGTTTAAGGCTTTTTTCATGGTTATTGAATGAATGATCTTACTTATTATTAACACCATCAATCTCTCTGATTAATATAATAGGCGAGATTATTCAAGGATTAATCGGCGATGTACGGGAATTTCTCTTGGATGTCAAATTTTGTAAAAATCTTCCAAATATGAAATAATCGCGAATAAAATCTTTTTGATTATTGGTAGATTTCAATCATTTTCGAAATTCGTTCAACAAATTTGAAATTGTGCACATCGCATTTTATAAACCAACAGAATATCAACCAGATAGACAATGCTAATAGATACGAGGAAAAAAATTTCTGGTATGAAAAATGCCTCGTGATATGCTCACTCATTGACTCACTGGAATAATTTTTTGCAGAAAAATTTTATAAATTTGAGTGTGGAGGCATCTATTTTTGAGAAAATTACTGCTTTAAAATATGCCATATCATGCCAAGTCTTATATTGCGAAGTACGCACCAAATTTTTTGATAAAATGTGTCATTTGTGCCGAAATATGTGTCATTTTATACGACATAAACATGTCCTTGAAGTTGGAAATTGAAATTTCGATAAAATTACGGTAATTTATTTCTATTGAATTGAGGAATTAAGGACTAAAATTTAGCAAATTGCTTAATATTTTATTGCTTAATAAAATATTTTATAAGTTTTATTATTATTTTATAAATTTGATGGTATAAATAAAGAAAAATTTACCGCAAGGCCAGGTATATCTTTAAAGTTTAAAGTAGTGATTAATCCTCCAAGCCAAGTAGAATGGTCATTCCTAGGAACCAATTAAATTTTATTTTTCATTTTTTTCTATTCTATTTACAAAATAACTATGAAATATTTGTTTATATTTCTTGCGTAATTTTCCACATACTACTAATTATCATAATCATGCGTTGACGATTTTGTATGTTGTATAATTCAATTGTAATATATAATAATGCACCTGTCGCTATTTATTGATGACTGCAATAATCTAGTTATAATTAACATATTGGGGAAAAACTGATAGATTAGTGGCTAACGATAATATAAAGATTTGCTCCAATTGAATGCAATTTTTTCTCGATTCAAAGGAAAAAATCCATCGAATTTTCCGAGATATTTAAAATAGAAATAATAGAGAAAATTTGTAAATTACATGTTCAATTCCCTGATCCAGGAGTAGGCCCATCATTCAGAAGAACTCGGATGGTGCTGGCAATCAACTATTGCATCTATTGGCAATTGAATTTCGCAAATCGTACTAGCCAGGGGAATTAACTTAGCCGGAAATAATGGGAACTAATTACCTTACTTACATAGATATTATTTCAACAAAAAAAATAAAACATTGGGATATTTTTGTATTATCAGATTGTAGTTCTTATTATTACTGAATTTTCCGCATATTAAATCATAAAAAATAAATTAATTATAAATTTCGCATATTAATTATTTAAATTAAATTGAAATTGAAATTAAATTTAATTGAAAAAGTATCAAAAAAAAGAACGTATAGGTGGACCAGAAGTATATGGACTTAGACGATGGAAAAAGGAATGGCTTCTATTACCATCCACGATGGCACCGCGCCGTTTGGAAGAGTCGTATCCGTCGTGTCTTTGCAACCGTTGGAACCAGCCTAACCAGTAATGGTGAAAGCTGTTAGAAGAAGAACTGAAATTAGTAGTTTTCATTTCAATTCCAAATGAAACTAATTATTTTCTCACCAGCATAGTATTTATTTTTACAATTAATGAATACAGCTGAGAATTTTTATTACGTAATTTAAACGATTAATACTGTAAAAGAGGAAATGAGTGGGATAGGAGAATAAATAGCAACTACCATTATCATCATCACCACCATTATCAATAACCAGGATTAATAGCAATCATATAATTTTAATATTATAATGAGCAGTCGGCTTCTTCGGCTTCTTGGAACAAGAAACAGCAGTTATTATTTATTGTTATTCACTGTGATTTATGGCAATCTTTTATATTGCTCTAATCTCCTAATAAATCTTCCATAGCAATGAATTTTTCCCCATTTTTTAAAACATATTTCTAATTAAAAATTGAATTTAAAGTGTTTTTTAAAATCAAGTGTTGCAAAGCAAATGGGAATTTGGGAATATTCAAAATAGATCGATTGAGCAGTTCATTATTTCGACAATATAGCTTCTTCATCGTCACATTAATGTATAATATGGAAAATATTAAACCAACCAACTAAGCCAATAATAATATTGAAGGACTTGTATAACGAAGGAAAGAATGGAATGTAACTTGGCCGAAACCATCGAGATTTTAACCTGAAATTCAAAATTAAATCAAGGAAATATATACATATATAAAATTCCTTTCTCACACCCTATGGATGGTAATCGTCCCCAGCCTCGATATTCTACTAGAGACTTAAGGGATAAAGGGTTCTGCGCAGCATCTTTCCCAGCTATTCCTTTTCTGGATAGAGATCTCCGATATTGTCTTCGAAATACACTTTTCTAATTTAGGGATAGTTTAGCAGTTCCAAGTGCTCCAATTGTCACTGGAACTATTTTGGCTTTAATTTTTCACATTTTCTCTAGTTCCTCTTTCAACTCCTAGTATTTCTCTAATTTTTCTTTTCTTTATTTCTTCTTCCTAATGTCCCTGTATATGTATACAGCATATACAAATAATAAGCCAGGTGTTGTGGAACCAGAGGCGTTAAAAGAAATACTGGAGCAAATTTCATATGGAACAGACAAGATAATATGGAATTGATGAAAAGCTACTGTAATACTAGATCTAATGAAAGAGGTTATATGAAACATATAAAGGAACTGTGGATGCAGAAAATACCTATTTAAAAGACCTACATCCCGCATTAAGTGAGAAATAATTCGTGGCTAAACGGTTCAACATGAAAAAAGAAGTTGCTCGATCAGCTGGATATGGACCAATTCTACGCTACACCTCAGACCCAGAATATTCAGAATATTCAAAGAAGAAGAGACAGATGAGCACGCAATAAACTGGGAAGCAGGAAATTCCCTTCCAACATCCCCGTTGCAAAAAAGAGTTGCAGTTGACATGAGGTAAAAAATCATGAATAAATTGACTGAAATTGACTGAAATTAACAAATAAATTAACCATCGAGACCGACTACTGACTACCAATGCATTCCCAGATAATATAATCGAAGATAAAAATAGAGTCTTTCCAACAACAATTCCCACTATTGCCACCAACAGAAACTAATGAATTTGTGTACACCATAGCCACCGTAATTATGGAGCTCTAAAATCAAGAAGAATATCATCCAAGATGCACTCTCAACATAAGTGTGAACCAACTACTATCAGCTATCAGAGAAGCTGTTAGCATTTGGTTGATGGAGTTCTAGTAACACGGACGTGGCAAGCTCTAACAGTAATAACTGAAAAGCATAATTAAGTATCTAGCAAGAATGGCTACTCGGCATATGACTCAGATCCTTCCAAGACTAAATGGGAGATTCCTCAGAAAATCGTAGGGAATAGTAAGATAAAGATTCTAAGGGACTTTTCCATCCAGACAAACAAGTACTGGCCAATCAGCCAAGCGACAGGAAGAAGCAATATAAGAAATTAGAGAAATATCAAGGGCTGAAAGAGTAACTACATAAGATGTGGAAAATAAAAGCGAAAGTGATAACACCAGTGATAACTGGAGCACTTGGAACTGTGACCTCTAAATTAAAAAGTAGCTCCAGCAGATTTCAGGGAAAACATCAGTTGCCTCTGTCCAGCGCACTGCTAGGAGCATACCTAAGCTATTGCGCAGAACCCTCGTAGCTCTGGTAGAGCAGCCGAGGTTGAGGATGATCACCCGCGGGGAATGAGAGATTTTTTTAAACGAAAATTATTTCCTCTTCGACTGCGACATTCGGAAGAAATTATTTGGGTAAAATAAAATATATTTGGAGTAGTTATGGGTACTTCGAATAGCTTGAAAATACATTTTAGCTTGCTCGCTTCTATGGTTTAAATTTAAAACTCGAACTCAACGATTACTTCTTATTTTCGTTTGCACTTTCCCAAACGCGAATGTGAATAGCTGAAACAGCGGACATCTCTCTCCTCGAATCCATTTACAGCATTCTGAATTGCCAATCCTCTAGGTGGCTACAAAATTGCGCTCTCCCACCGTCATCCATTGCAGACCTTTCTGATGCACATATGTAGGGATCATAAACCAAAAGCGTCTGTGGCCGAAATCGAAGCCGAATATTAGCGGTGCTTCCTCGGGACGATACAAGTTGCTTTGTGAATCAGTAGGTTTAGCTATATGTTATTGTTAATGTGGGTGGGTTTTTTTTTAATCCTATGGTTCCAGATTTCTTAGATCTACCAGTAGCTGTGTTCAGTGGTTGTGGGTTTTCAGTCGACTTCTTCCTTGTTTATCGTTTGAATTTAAAAATTATGGATTCCTTTGAGCATCTCGTGAAAAGCTACAGATTCCGTTTGAATAAATGAATGCTGCTGCTTTTTCTGCCAATAAAATCTCTTTACTGCGGCAAAATCGTACCTAACCTAACCTAAAAATAGCATTTCCTTCAAGAATGTTTTGGAATCCATACGGTCATCTTATTTTTTCTTTTCATTTATTTTTCTGTGAGTTTAATGAATTATACGCTCATACTGATATATTTAGCAGGGATGATAGCTAATATAACATGTGATAAAGAATGGCGAGGTGAACAAGGTGCTTCATTATGTCCACTTAAATCAAAAGACTACTTCGCCTCACCTGAAGTAATTCTTGCTCACAACTGGGTATTTTGTGATGCTTGTAGAGATGCGAGAATTTTGGAGAAAACAAAAGGACAAGATCTGATTTTCAGTAATCGAGTACCATCATGGATACAACATGAACAAGGAATGGTAGGTAGGTTTTTTCCTCGAATTAGGCGAGTTTAACTTCTTGTACTTGTCAGTTATCTGATTTGGTGGCAGACAATGCCAGGAAGAGACCACACATGGTCCTTTTTTTTCTTATATTTTTTCTCTTCGTTCACCAATAATTCATTTATTCTCTTATCCAGCAGTTTTAGCCTTTCTTCACCGCTATATTATTTCCTTAACAATAAGTGAATGCCACTGTAGATCAGATGACTGATAAATATCGAGCTTGTGGTGTCAAAAGGAGTAAAATTGTTTTTGATAAGCTTTCGCTCTTACATAAAAACCCACTTTTATCAAGCTTTTTACTAGTTATTTTTTGTTATTATTTTCAAATTATTAGTTTTAAATTATTCTTAAATTTAATTTAATTTAAATTAAATTATTCGTAAAATCAATTATCAAAAATTTTTCGAGCTTATCTCTATAAATGATTTTTTAAAAGGAATTTTAGAAGAAAATTTTGTGGAAGACAAGTTAAAAATAAAGAGAAATAAGAAAAAATATCAAAAAAAGAAACGTGAAATAGATGAAGAACTACGGCGAATGAAAGATAAGCCTTTACCTGACAAAAAAGCTTTACATGTTTTAGTGAAGAGTGGACTTAGCAAGTTTGTTTCTTCGAAAAATTTATTCTTTTAGAATTTGTCCAAGTCTTTTAGCAGTGTTTCTTTTTAGTTCACTAAAAAAAGGTATTCTGTTTTTCCTATTTGTTAATTTTAAATATCTGTTATTTTTCAATTTTAATTGACTACATTTCAATTTTGAGATCCGATGCACTTTCAAAGTTCGTCGATGAAAAACGAGAAAAAGCGAAAAAAATTAAAAAATCTGAAGTGGAAACGCAAAAAAAGGTTTTACTTTTACTTTATTTTTGTTTAAGGCAAAGATTTTGAAGAAAAATTGGTAATTTTCATTGTTTTTATTGTATATTTTTTTCTATTTGCTATTGTATATATGTATATAATATTTTCATATATTTAAAAATATTTAAAAAATATATATTTTCATTCTCTAATTTATGGTTTTTTGTTTTTGTGATCAACTTTTATTATTATATTTCCAGACTGCTCGAGACCATATGCCATGGGCACCACATATACATCCATTGTTAAAAAATAAGGTTTCTGTACTTAATCGACTTGTTGATCATCAGCGTTATGTTGCTATTGCTTCCAATTTTTTAAATCCAGAGCCACTGCTTCGTTATCAACATAATAGAAAAGAATTGCAGGTTATGTTTTTTTATAATAGTTATAGTTGTATTTAGTCCTCCAATTTTTAAGATTTTTTGATTATTATTTTGCTTACCCGGTTTTTAAATATTTTCTAGCGCCTTCGAGTGTTTTAATACTTTCATTTTAATTTAGATGATGGATAATAAATTATTAGATGAGAGAAGAGAATATCAGAAAATAGTATCGGATTATGTGTTAAAAAAGAAGCAAACACTTTTTTCTTGTAGTGATAAGGCAGTTCATTACGTATTGGTTTGTTTTATTTATTATTTATTAATAGGTATTATATCTTCATCTTTTTTGATTTTTTTTCTTATTTTTTCTTATTTATCACTTTTATTACTTTTTTATTATCCTCTGTTATCTTTTATTATTTTGAGATTAAATTATTTACCAATTCACAGTTTTCTGTTTTAATATTTTGATAATCATTTTTATTGTTTATTTCTAGAAAAATCAGTAACTTGATCTCTTATTATGGCTTAAATAATCAAATAATTGGAATAAATGAATAAATGTCAGAATTCCTTCATTTTTTATATATTAATTTTGTATTTTTATATATTTATTCCACATAAACCAGAAAATTTTCAGCAAAGATTGAACAAACGCCGAGATTCAGTCATTGGCAGATACGGAAATGCAATCTATACGATCAGCAGTGAGAATATTAGAAATAATTTTCGAGCTACTTCAGTTCCTGAACTTGTACAAATTTTCCATTATGGACATGTTCCAAAAGTAAATTTTCCAAATGAACGAAAACGATTTGCGTTCTCTAACAATGTCGATGAAATTAATGAACTATTTCAAATTCGAGAATGTGAGGAAGTAAGTGGTTTGAATAAAGATGACATATTATTGACAAATATTATTGACAGTCGCTTATAAATAATTTAATTTCATGTTTTGTATTGAATTTAGTTTTTTTTAAGTTCCCATTGGAGAAAGATGAATTAGCGATAACTTTGGTAATGAAACAAGATCTAGCATGTGTAATGTGCGCTAGTAGTGCTGTTGCATTAATGCACAAGCCGTTTTTAACTGATTCATCCAATATGTTAATTCCGATCACCGTATTAGAGCGATTCGACGATGGTTTTTTTTAGAGATTTTATGATATATCTTTATAAAATTTATTTTATTTGTTCTATAACTGTTATATTTTTCTATCTTATCTTTTCTCACTTAGCTTTTTTTCCAAATATAAGTTATTCAGGATATAGAAAAAAGATTTGCGTTGTTGGGAAACCTTATCCAGAATCTCCGATAAATCATCCAACTGTATGGCGTCGATTTTTAAAATATTCTGTCAAAGCAGCAATTTATCCTAAGTTTGAATCTTGCAATGTGATTTCATCTCAGTGTGCTCAATCAGAGTTTAAAAACCAAATAGCTACTGCCAAATGCGGAAGGTTTGAATCAAACGGTTCGCTACAGAAAGATTCTTTATGATTTTTTAAATTATTCTTGGTTCTAAATTATTCGTTTTTTGCTTCTCGGCGATATTAGTGCTTTTTAATATCTTTGAAGGCTGTTCATATTGAATTCAGGTAAAGAAGAACCAAGTTCATTGATGACTAATTGTCAGAATGAAGGCGATATATTATCTACAGTTAGCATTAAGAATTATCAAAATTATCAAAACAACAAACAACATGAATCAGAAAAGTTATTATTATTTAATTTTTCACTTACCTAATGATGGAAGTGAAATATAAATCCATTTTTCAATAGTGGTCTAATATTTCAGCATTTGCAATGATTTGCTGTCTGGGATAATGAGCGATATGAATGCGGCAACCCCTAGTTTAATATATGGAGATAGTACGTTTCTACGACGATTTATATTTTGAAATAAAGCGAATGAAAAAAAATACAGTTACAGATACAGTTAAGATACTGTTATTTAATAGCTGTTGATTTTTTAAACAGTTACCTTTCGAAATTGGTGCTATGGAGCAATTTTTTCTTCATTTTCTCTCCGGAATTAATTTGTAGATAGTGTTATCTATGATAGAAATATAAAAGAATTGGAAGGAGTCGACTTGCAAAAACGCTATAGTAAATTTTCCATCGGTGGAGAATTCATTTTAATTAGATCCAATAACGATGGTGTCGATTCAACGGGAAATAGTCTTGCCATTACACAGCGAGCAGAATATGCAGCAGAATTTGGTGCAGAAGTTAGTTTTTATTTTTGTTTTTTTCTTTACTGCTTCTTTTCTCATGCTTGTTCAAAACACATAATCAAATCTGCATTATCATCGTCAGGACTGATTGAATGCGAATATGCCTTTTGTTCATCTTATTAACACAATGCTATTTAAAAAAACCTTAATTCTACCTTGTAATAGACCCATTTGAGAATTATTTCATAATATCATTACTGTTTTTTCTTATTCCATTTACATTATTATTCGTTAGAAAAAATAACTGATTTAGCGCTTGGACGAGGAAGAATGGCTTCGAGATTATTTTAAATGCAAATTTAAAGGCGCATCACAACTTATTCGCTTAAGGTTTTTTATTTTTTCTTTTTTCTATTTACCTATTTATCTGCTTTTTATCAATCAAGCTATAAAAAAAATTTTGCTTTTTTGTAGGATTCATAGTAAAGAACTTCATTTTCTTCAAAAGGAACGGTATAGTGAGAGAAATTTGACGATAAATCGTGATGATCGACGTCGATTGTATTGCTTTATTTTTAATCTAATATCTTATCATAATTTCACTTTTCATAATTAGGTTTTGCCAGTTTCCTGTTGATTTTTTGAAGAATGCAAAAAATGCCCAATATTTTCTAAAACTTTCGAAATTATTTTTTATTTTGAAAAATATTTTCATTGTATTTGTGGCTCATTTTTTTATAAAGCACTAAAAATGTTTATATATACACAGATATACACAGATTTATATACACAGATTTGGTAATCATTTTTGTTTTTTTTACTGTCAATCTAATACAGTTATTTATTCATATTTTCGACTGCAGGATTGAAGAGCGTACATATCGTTTAGAAGTTCTTTTAACATATTTGAAGCTTCTGGAATCTGGATCATATCTGCTTCGCACTACTGACAATGGCAATATGCATATCCTTCCGAAATTGCGACACCTTTCGGATGAGTCAATATTTTCTGGATTGTTTTAATCTTTTTTATGGGTTTTCGTATTTAAAATATCCTTATTCTTAACGTAACCATTTCTGACTTGGGGATAGAATAGCTCAGTGGATTATCGTTCGATTAGGAGCGCGGATGCTGAGGTTCGATTCTCCGCAGGAGCAAATCTGTGCAAAAATCCGGGTGATGCTGGCGACTCACCTGTATTTCTATCGCCAAGGGACTCCCTGGCATATTGTCCAATGTGACAAGCCAGTGGAACGAATTTAACCAGTAATGGTGAGGATTCTTTAAAAAAAAATGTATATAAATACCAATGGGACTGTAGGAAACAACACTTGAAATCAACTCGAAATAGCTTGCACAAGTAGCTATCAAGTGCGGCATACATCAAGGCAATGCATTTTTCCCCTATTGTTCTGCATTGATCTAAACCCTTTAGATAATCATGAGAAGCGGATATCAAATTCAAGAGCGGAGTTACCATCCTTTCTATATGGATGATACAAGTTATATACAATAAGAGATTAACTCAGTCATTCATTTCGGGCTTGCAGCGAGGACATTGGGATGTCATTCGGATAAAAGAAATGTGGCCGGATAGTAATAAAGAGAAGAAAAGATAGTAATGGGATGAACCTGCCACTAGGACATATAATAGATATACGGAATAGCTATAAGTACCTTGATATCCCACATCACGATGATGAAGCAAGGAAGATTGCAGTACTTAATTAATTATCACCAAAGGACAAGACAAATAATGAAGAGCTAGCTCAATGGGAAGAACAAAATCCATTCCATAAATATGTTTGCCTTTCCAGTCATCAGGCGCGCAGCTGGCATTGTAAGATGGATAAGGAAGAATGAAAGTTAAACCAGAGAACCAGAGAAAACCAGGGAACTCCTCACAAAAATTTCCTTCCTAAATCCAATACTCAAAGGCTGTACACCAGCTTGGAAGAAGGCAGGGCTTGGTGAATGTGAAAGCACTATCTTAAACGAAACTTGAAGCATTCAGAAATATGTCAGCAAGATGGCACCAAAGGACTATTGAGCAAATGTCTGAAGCATATACAAACATTGGAAAACGATCAAGCAGAAACTACCATGGTAAAGCAAGGCTTGTACCATTGATAGATACCTGACATGGATTGTACCATTGATAGATAGCTGATATATTGTGAAATCCTACCAGTGGTTGGAGAAAGCTGGACTAGAAGCAATACTCCATTAATTATATCAACCCCAGAAATAGTCCAACACGTAGTGGCAAAATGTAAAGTGCAGACAGGAACAAATTACATTGAAGGCAAAAGGCAAAATTACATTCTGGATAATGGCAGCTGGAAATGCGTATAGACATTCTCAAGGCTGGATAAGTGGGAGATTCCTCAGAATAGGCGAAGGCGAAGATCCTGTGGGACTTCCTCATCCAAATAAATACTGGCTTACCAACGAGATATCTTGGCAATAAACAAGAATTAGAAATCAGCACTGGTAATTGAACTATCAATATCAAATGACAGGAAGAAGGAATACGAGAAGTTAGAAAAATACGAAGGACTGAAGAAGGAAGTAGAAAGCAAAGACGAAAGCAATTCCAGCGATAATTGGAACATTTAGAACTTGGAAAGTGGCTTCAGCAGATTCCAGGAGCAATGTAAAATCTCTGTTCAGAAGTGCGCACTATTAGGAACAGCTAAGGCACTGCGCAGAACAACCCTCAATCATCCAGGCTTTCGGTAGAGGACCCGAGTTTGATCACGACCCCTCATGGGGAAGTGAGAGAAAAGTTTTTTTTTCTTTTTAAGTATATAGAAACTAAATAGTTTTTAGTATTGGATTAGAAATGAATGCAGGAAAATTACAATGTGTCAGCAGCGTTCCAGATCGCGAAAAGATATTTCATGGGATCGACGAACACTTTGTTTTTGTTTATCATATAGTGCAAAAACGAATACCAGCTACTTTCCAGTACAATAAAGATTTTAGAAGTAAAATTTTCTTTTTTTTTTATTCTATCATTGTCTTTGCAAGCATATTTTTTTTTAAATTGGTTTTTTTGAGATTTCAAGGTCTGTGGAAATGAATGTGCAGTTAATCAAAAACTGCAAAAACTTGGCAATGGTGCATCTGGTCGTAACAAACGCAAAAACCGTCAAAGAGCAAGAAGAAAAAATCGAACTTTATATGTACATAAAGATTTGGATAGACCTGAATGATGGCACCATTTTTTTTCATTTCATCTGATTTTATCTTTTATTTTAATTCGAATCTATTATGATCTCGCATTTGTTAAATGCATTCATATTATGTTTTGTAAGGTTGTCACGTATATTTTTTGTATAAGGAAGAAACAAGAAACAAACATTTATTCATAGAATTCTCATTTATTTTCCACATCACTAACAACAAAAAAAACGCTAGCGTTAGAACAGATAAAACACTATTTTTCGAAAAAATTTCATTAATACTTCTAATAAATTTTCGTAATTTTTCGACATAAATGACTTCATTTGGCAGCTTCGTCGCATACTTTACCGGTAAAACTATTACTATCAACATATTTTCAAGGGCCTAAATTCTAATCTAAAAAGAAAAAAGAAAAAAAAACAAAAACTCAATGAAAGATTGGAAAAAGAATCAGGACTGATAAGAACTGATAAGCCGATGTTTTTTCTTCTAACAGACCTAACCATTAGGCAAGATGTCTTCAAGCTGTTCGATCTCGACAATAATAAAGGCCATCGCTTTTCCCATCGCCCATATGCAGCCGGTCCACTTATTCTATTCAAAGTTTGTTCAAAATCTGTATCCAAGTTTTGATTGGCCGTTCTCGTTTTCGACGTCATCATTCCATCACATGGTTTAGCAAGTAATGAACAAAAATACGTCAACTCTTGTGGCAGGCGAACGTGCCCTCGAAGGCAACGTTCTATGATATTAATGCGGAGTGGTGTTTGAACGAAGCTGGAAACAATTACCTGAGATTTTATCCGCTCTACGTTCCCGTAAAATGTGTTGTAGATAAGGAAACAAACTTCTTAATATCATCCATTCTCATCTGCCATGTCTCGCAATTATATATAAAATCGAGCGAATTGCAGCTATATTAAACTTCCACCATTATCTGAGTAGTAATTTCACTTGGCCATTTGGGATTAGAGTGGATTCGAGATATTTAAACTCTGGCGATTTCTCAATCGGCAACGAATTGATAAAAATAAATATTTTATCAATTTCCTTATGATAAGATGAAAAGATTTTCGTTTTATTTACAGTGACTTTCGCTGCATTTATTAACATTATTTTCATTTCGTCGTAGCTATCAGTAAAAAGGTCTACACCATCAGCATATTCAAACGATGTCTATTATCCAGCTTACCGCATAGTTGAATATTGTAGGAGAAAGAACTTAACCTTGACAAACACCAGTACTTTCTTCGAAAGGGTCTGTTAATTTCCATATATACAGATACAGACTTGTGCCGATATTCGCTGACAAAATGCCTTTATGCGTCGAACGATCTTCTTTGGAACCATTCCATCAAGATCCACTCCAAAATTCGATGGATATCAGTCAAAAATTGAAAAAAAAGGATGACGAACGTCAAAAAAACCTGGCCCTTTCACCATACAGTCACTTGGGAACATAATTATAAGTGAGTCCACAAAAGCCACTCAGATTTTTGATATTAAGGCAGTTTTACTTCTGTCAAAGACCAAGATGAAAAAAGGAGAAAAAAATTTGATCCTTTATTTTAAAATCATCTTTAAAGGAAATTAGCCTAATCGTTATCGAAAAAATTAGCGTTTCAGAAAAAGATCGCGATTGGCAGATCGCGAGAGAAAACGACAGCCCAAGAAATTTATTCTTTAAAATTCCCAGATTAAATCAGATTCTAACCTTATACAATTCAAGGTTCCGAAATTTATGACTTAAAAATTCGAATATTTAAATTTAAAAAAATTAATCTGCACTTATTGGACAAATTTGTAATACAATTTGTAACATTTGAAGTTTGCACCTCGTACTTTGTAAAATATTTCAAAGCACGGGATGAATGATCCAAACAATGATTAGTGGCTCAGATTATCGAGTTGAAAGATTTTAGATCTTGCCTCCAATAGAAGTCTGTCGTCAGACCCAAATGCGACCCACTCACACTTCTGAGTACCTTTTTCCTTCATAGCAGATAGCTCAATCAATTAGATCAATCTAATCGGCAATAACTACATATGAGGACCACAGCATTAACTTTTTTCAAAAGAAATATTAAAACGCTTCTATTCAAATCTATATATAATCTGAATAAATTTATTTAATATATCTAAAAACTTCAAGCAAAGTACGAAGCAATTCTAGGTGAAAAGGAAATGAGGGATGATCAGCCGATAATTTCGCTTAATAGACTATGTTTTCGAATTCCACCATGAATGCAGTTCTTTCTGCCTTGCCAGGCTCAATTGAGGATTTCTCTTTTAAAATAAACGAGGGACAGAATACAATGAAAAGACTGAAAAAGATTATAAAAGAAAAAAATATGGCAAAAAAGGGAAATAAAAAAAAAATGTTAAATGGACTTATGGACTTATCTAGTAGATAAGTTTTAAAGTAATTCGCAAGAAATATACAAACAAAAACAAATAAATTTTATTTTCATTTTAATTACTTAACGAACAGTATACTAAAGTAAGCCTTGCCGTTTGAGATCTTCAAAAGTTCGCTTATTGACTACATTACCATCACTATCTTCGAATTCTTCATCATGCTCCGGATTCCACTTTAAGGACTCTTTCTGACGCCTTATTTTACCCCAAAGATCAACAGCATCTTTGATTTTGGTAATATTAGCAAAATGTGCTGTATTTGGGATGCCCAAGCATCGCATTCCATGTGAATGACGCCACTCCTGAAATCCGATTTTTCAATTCAGTTGTTTGCTAATCGATGTTTGTTAATTTGTTGGCACTTTTCAAGACCATTTGTAAAAAAACAAACGTTGAAATGACGCTGGAATGCTTTTGGGCCTTTGTAAATCTGATTTCCACAAATCTCACAAGGATATGAAATATTTAATCCATGCAGCTTATATAACCAATAAGGTATGGGTTTTCCATCCCAGCCAAGAGGTAGATTTTTGGGATTATAAGGAATACTGTCATCTTCATCTTCATCAGACCCTTCACTTATATCTTGTTCATCATCTAAATTTTCCGCTGCCCCTCTTGCTTGTTTTCGTTCAATGTTTTCTTTTGTTGCATCTCTTTCATCATTCAAGAATGAGGACAATCTGAAAATTATAAACTCTTCACTTTTTATTATTTCTGTTTTTAAAATTAAAAATTAAAACGAGTATTAAGTAATAAGCTTGAGATCTAGCAATATAAAACTGGCAAATGCGGATTTTACTATGTTATGTCATCTTGCTTTTTTCCTTGAATGATTTTTTTTCACCATTCTTCATCAAAATAACTTAAACAATAACTTCTGGATGTGAGCCTCTAGGCGAGCAGTTTCTCGTAATTTCTTTTGCTCTTTTAAATCTGCATCTTTCTTCTTTGCTAACGCCCCAATTTCTAAATCACTTAGTTTATGACCTTTTGTAGCGAATAGTCTTTCCGCACGTTCTTGCAGTGTTCTAAAATTCAGTTAATTAAGAAATATTTGCTGAAGGATGAAGTAAATTGATCTTTGAATAATGAAACTTATTCAATAAAAAAGGTATATCAAAGATTACCCTCCACATTTAAGACCAAGAGCGATGAGAGCTGATTTTAAGCGATCGAGACCCAAAGCTGCTAAATCAGAAGCAGACTCAAATGAAGATAAGTCGAGAAAAGCCCCACCATGTATTAACGCTCCATGTTGTTCCTTTCCCCATCCTGGGACCACACCTTGAAATTTAAAAAACTTCAGCAATTCGATTCAAAATTATAACAGAATCAAATTCAAACGGTGCTGCAAATGAAAAAACTCGAATTCATTACAACGGAGCTCTACAAAAAATAAAAATAAAGCATAATAGAAATCATATAAGAAGCGTTGTAACCATTCAATACCTATAAAAAATAACTTTAGCAATTATCGAATTACCTTCGTCCCATTTTTTATAAAATTCTTCATCAATACGACTTAGTTCATCTTCAACATCAAGAATGGGTCGAGTACGTGCTAAAAAATCAACCAAATAATCCTTTAAACAAAAAAGATAATCTCGATATGAGCCAGTTTTCTTCGAAGATATAGGTATTTCCGCAAAACGATCATAATGGTTCAAAAATGCTATATAATCCAGTTTCTAAAATAAACATTTCTAATTTATTTCGAAAAGATAAGCAGAAAGCGTTAGAAAAACCACTTCAGAAATATGAATTAATTAATATAAATTATAAATATAAATTATATTATGAATGAAATATTGAAATCCTTCTTATTTTCTTGCAAAGAAATTATTCCATAATACCTTAATTCCTTTTACATTGAGATATTTCCCATGGATAGCATGCAAATCAAGAAAACGACCATAACCCTCTTCATCTCTAAATTCCACAACATCCTTCTCAGCTATTTCAGCGTTCCCTATTGCTTCATTCATTCTGTGAAATTCCAAGCTCAATGGTACAGCGGTCTGCAGTTTTTTAATTTTAAAATAAATATCGCTGGAAAACAAAAAGCACAAAAAGGAATGATTAATTAACGATTAATAATTAATACCTCGTCCGGATTCCTGCGATGAGCATCCTTTAAGGATTTTAGTCTTGAATAAAACTCTGCAAATTCGTTGGGACCAGCTATTGCTCGAATTTCTTTCTCGCGTAATTTTTCCTCATCCTCATACAAAAGTCGCAATTTTTTGGTAGCTTCATGATATCTCTATAAAATAAAGTAAATATAAATTTATTTCTAAAGACTGTCGGAATCACCTCATAATAATGTTATCTTGTCACTGCATAAAAAAAAGGCAAAAAGTGACAAGAAAATAGCTAATAAAAGAGAAAAAAACGGGGTATATTTTTCATCAGTTAGAAAGGTAACTTACATCTATAAGATTTTTCAGTCTATGATCGCCATTAATTTTCTCTTTATGCTGAAAAATGATAAAATTTAGAGATAAGATTTATTAATTACCAAATTTTCTGATGAGATAAAGAGATTTAATAATTTAAATCAAATTTAAAATTTAAACATCATCAACTTCAAAATATTTGCAAATTTCATTATTTTGCATTTGACTTATTTCATGAAAATTTTAAAGGAATCATAGATAATTCAGACGAGTGAATGCTTCGATTTGTCTCGAGCATCGTAACATCATTTCGATAATCTATCTCGTAAGGAGCAAGTCTGGCCTCCTAACTGCCTGGCGAAAATTTAACCGTATTTATAGCCTATTAGATAATGCAAACCACTTACTCTGTAATTTTCAGTACTATATTTTTAAGTTGACACCAACAGAATTATATAGAGAAAAATCAAAAAAAAAAAATATAGTACTGAAATACATACTACTTGAAACAAAAAAAGAAACAGTTCAGTTTGGTTCAAAAACGGTTTTTTCAGAAGATCCATCAGAAAAGCTAAAAAGAAAAAAGGAACTTAATATGAACAAAATCAAACAGATTTTCGCTCATAAAGCAATTCTTTGGTCATGCTATCGACAAGACGATCTTTCTCTTCATGTAAGCGACGTTGTACCTCCAAAATCGAATCCATTGGGTTAAACAATCCTATAAATTATTATTATTTACTATTATTATTATATACCATCATTATTATAATATACATGCAAATAGCATCGGAGCAATTAAGGGCGAACGATCGCTTCTCTACCTCAAATATAAAAATGTAAGATAATGTAAAATATAACATAGAAGAATAAAGCCGGCTCGGAAGTCGCCCAGATTAACAAGGTCCGCATCAGATGTCGCGGAACCAGGAGTATCTGGGCTACTACAACGCCAGGCGATGTGAAACCAGAGAAATTTAGATTTAAAAGGGCTACTGGAATAAACATGGAACCTTACTATAATAACAATCTACGATCTAATGAAAGGGGTTATACAAAATGTGTGAAATAATTATGGAAGGACCTATTTAATTAAGAAATAGATGGTGACTTAATGCTTTAATATTAGGAAATGGAAACTCTTTCTCAGCTGGAGATGGATCAACCTTACGCTACACCTCATACATTCAGAATGTTTAGGAAAAAAAGAAATGAAGAGATACGAATGTACAAACTGGGAAGCTGGAAATTAATCTTCCAATATCTCCGCTACAAAGCAAAACATCTAAAATCATGAATAAATTGACTGTAATTAACCATGGAGACCGATTGCCGAGACTCAGTGACTACCAAATAATATAATCTAAAATGCAAATTAACACAAGGAAGGACTGTATTGATAATGAAAGACTCTCATAAAGGAAGAAAACCGTCCAAGTACCGATCAATAACCTGTCTACTTAAAAAGTTCTGTCAGGCATTATATTCATCAAACTTTATGACCATAAGACCATATAGCCGTGAATATAGTTAGAAAAGCATAGGGAACACCACAGGCTCCGAAAACCTCTCAATATTCAAGGCTCAAGACTCAAAAATTAATCCACATACAGCTTGGACTGACTATAAGAAAACATTTGACCCATCCGTTTCTCCCCTCAGTGAAAGATGTTCATTAAAAACTCCAATGGGATTGCAGAAAATGACATTTGAAGACAACTCAAAATAGCTTGCGCAAGTGATATCAAGTGCGATATACATCAAGGTGACATATTGTCTCCCTTTTTATTCTGTATAGATCTGATTCCCTTAGTCAGATAATCACAAGAAGTGGATATGGTTACAAATTAATGAGGGCAGCTATCATAAGCCATCTTCTCTATAAGGAAGACAAGTTATATGCAAAAAGTGAACGAGATATTGACTCGCTGATCCATCTAACTCGAGCCTATAGCGAGGATAATGAGATGACATTCGGATTGGAGAAATGTGGCCGGATGGTAGCAAACAGAGGAAGACCAGTGATAACTAATGGGGTGAACCCATCATCAGGACATATAGCGGACATACAGTTCAGCTACCTTGATAAGTGTTGCCTTGATATCCCACAGTCACATGGTACGATGAGGAGGCAAGGAATTCTACAATACCTAATTATCACCAAAGACAAATAAATTTGAAATAAATAATGAAGAGTCAGCTCAATGGGAAGAACCATAAATATGTATGCCTTGCCAGTCATCGGATGGCATTAATGGACGAAGGAAGAATGAAAGTTACTGATTTAAAGATCAGGGAACTCCTCACAGAAATTTCCACTCCAAGTCCAGTAATCAAAGTCTATACACCAGCCGGGAAAGAAGGCGAGTGAGTGTGAAAGCTCTATCTTGAACGAAACTCGAAGCATTTAAAAATA